CGTGCGCGCATGCATTCATCGGGTGTGGTGCGCGGGAGAAGATAGCGCAATGACCGTGCAGCCGCGCGCCTTCTTTGCACGGTGGCAGTGGTGAGTGCCAGGTGAAGTTAAAAAGATATATATTCGCAAAGTCCCTACACAAAGCGCTGGTCGTGAAGCCTACTTTAATATTAAAAAATACTATCGTCTCTACTTTAGAAAGTCTGTGGAAAATAAATGCGGCCTGTGAAGCTTATATTAATAATATTAATACTATTGATATCGTCATTACTTTGAAAAGTGTGTGGAAAATAACATCCCAGAGCTCTTACAAAATACTGGTCTGTGAAGTCTACATTAATAATGATAAATATCTCTATTTGAGAAGTGTGTAGAGCTCTTAGAAATTAAAGTGGTTACTGTGCCCGATTTGCAATACATAGGACAGGTTTTGCGCTGCAAGAGGCATATATCGAGCTACTCCTGGCTGTTTGCAACCAATCGATGCGTTTCGTGCTCGGCAGAAATGTTTACATCACGTCCAATCGCGAGGGCGATAGACGGTCTGATCGTGCGACAGATCCAGTCAGTGTCGCAGGTCGGTCGGTATTGCCCAATCAGGGCGCGAGTTAATTGTGTCACGCTTTTGGATATATTTGTAATTTTGGCATAGTTAGGTCGAGTCAGAAAGGTAGGCGCGGTCGGTAAGAAGGGACGTAAATGTATTAGACAGGCCAAGTGTAGCCATGCGAAAAGGCAGGAAAAAGCAGCAAGACGGGGAATGCGACGGACTGACGGACGGACAGACCGACAGGTTACAAGGTTAGGGAGCGGAAAACTAGCGCTCTAAGCGCCCGCTCCGCGGACGCTAGGGCATGGTTGGTTGGTGTAGAGAGGGCCGACTACCTCCGCTGCGCTGCGGTGGGCTTAGAATTTATCATCAAAGCGAAGCAACATATAGTACATGTATACTGTGATCTACGTATATTACTGAACGTTCCAAAACAACACCGCACACAGTATCCTTCGTGCTCACATGTTATGGTAGACACGACCAGGGTTTAACGTGATCTGCAAGATGAGCACCATCTTACCCGGGAGTTTTCGTCTATAGTCTCATTTGAGCGCATAGCTCCCACAATGACGCCAATCGGAGGCGCGCGTGGTTGCAAATGTAATATATGCTGTACGGAAGACGGGTCAGTATCCATGATGCTACGGAATTGGCATAGATCGGTGAGGAATCCTAGTTTGGGGGTCTAAATACGCCTCCTCAAACATAATACCATATGTCACGTCATCGCGGTGAGGCAGTCGACACCATATCTTTAATTGCGACGGTCTATTAGAGCAAGGTTTGGTCGGCTCCTCGCGCAAAGTATCTGTTAGGACAGGTACTATTTGCTAATGATCGCCCCAAACACCAATATTATGCCTTGAAATTGTCCCGCTGAGCTCTTTATGATATTACCGAAGAGTCTTTCCACTATCTTCCGCTTGTATTAATCTTGCATGTATAGCTGACGTATTTACTGACTGATTTGCACAGCTACTGCTTGACCGAGTGGCGTAGATCCTTTCCGATTGGCATTTACTGGTTCCGATCTGTATGACGAACATACGAAGCCACATGGCTGTAGACAAATTATCAGATCATAGATATCTTAGGCTTGAATCGAAAAGTAGATCATGTACATTAGATAAGTACTTTCGGTGTCTAGCTAGCAGCCCGGCGTGCTATTGGATATGTCCGTGTTTATTCCGCAATGTCGCGAATGATGTGGTCGTGATAACCAACACCCATGTATTGGGTCACTGCTGCAATCTCGGTACTTTCGCATCGTCGTGCTCGCTTACAGTACTAACGCTTATTATGCATCCGACTATATGATCAAGCGCGTCGCTGAGTAGGCACAGGTCATACCCGCGGTAATGCAGGCAGCCTGATACAGGCCGGCTGACCAGGCTTCTGTTAGCAGTAGGAAAAACAATATATACGCGCGCGGCAGGTACACATTATAGCCACCCGCGACTCAACCGAGCTCTTATCTCGACCATTATGGACAGGACGCTAAAGTAAAGTACTGCGTACAGACAGTTCAACTTACCACACCCACCGGTACTGCGTACAGACAGTTCAACTTACCACACCCACCGGTATGGTTTGCACTACCGCACACGTGCTCGTATCTATGTAGACAGCAAGTTAATCGTCGTGTGTAGTGCTCACTCGATACTGTAGTCTCAATTTGTGAGCGCACATGAATGCAACGTACGCTGTGAGCGCTGATGGCACAGATATGATGGTTGGCATGTATCCAAGTGAGCGAGTGTACATTCGATCTATTGTAACGCGCAAAGCAGAAATGGACGGTCAGCTTGCAAGGGTTCACAGTAGATACCATGCGCTAATTATTATATGAAACGCGCTACCCTCTGTAGGTGCGTCAACACTATTGGCAGCGCCATAGTCAGTTTACCGTATGTGCGTCTCCAAGCCTCGTACCGTCAGCCAGTATACAAATTACAAAAATAGGTAGGAAAATGGGGGCCTAAAAGGGTATATATTCCAATTACTTGCTCTTCTGCTGCTTCTTTTACTCGATGTACTTGACATTTCGGGCGGTCAGCTTGCGAAGGCGGCTGCGCCTCTTTTTTTCTTGGGGTACCTGTCAGGACCCATCGCCTTCTTGACGCTCGCCAGGCTTTCCTGGCGGCGCACTTCGGCCGACTCGGGTGGGGGGGGGCTTTTCCTCCCAAAGCTCAACCGCTTTTGGGCCGTTCTCGCAGGCAATACAGCGCCGCACGATGTCCCGCCCGATGATTGTACGGAGTGCGTAACCGTACTGTAGCTTCCCGCAGCAGACGCAGCGCGCCCGGGAATCCGTCGTAGACCGCTGCGGGTTCAGCAGAAGCGGGTCAATCTTCGCCTCGCATTGCTTGCACGTAGGGCCCACAACTGTGAGTAAGTTAGCAACTTATACAAAATTATATTATTTCAACCAATACTTGCGTCCAAATATTAGCCAATAGCACGGTACTGTAAGGCTGGTATTTATTATTAGGCAAAATACTATAATGTTTTAAAATATTACTATTTGGCTTTGCCTTAATAAAAATATTATCAGATTTCCAAACAAATACATACTTTACATGCAATATAAATTGACTAAAACAATTATCTATCGTGCGCGCATGCATTCGTCGGGTGCGGCGCACGGGAGCAGATAGCGCAATGACCGTGCAGCCGCGCGCCTTCATTGCACGGTGGCAGTGTTGAGTGCCAGGTGAAGTAAAATATATATATTCGCAAGGTCCCTACAAAAAGCGCTGGTCGTGAAGCCTACTTTAATATTAAAAAATACTATTGTCTCTACTTTAGAAAGTGTGTGGAAAATAGCATCGCCGAGCTCTTACAAATGCGGCCTGTGAAGCTTATATTAAGCATATTAGTACTATTAATATCGTCATTACTTTGAAAAGTGTGTGGAAAATAACATCCCAGAGCTCTTACAAAATACTGGTCTGTGAAGTCTACATTAATAATGATAAATATCTCTATTTGAGAAGTGTGCAGAGCTCTTAGAAAATAAAGTGGTTACTGTGCCCGATTTGCAGTATCTGCGCAGCTCGCCTGGCCGTTTGCATCCAATCGATGCGTTTCGTGCTCGGCAGAAATGTTTACCTTACGTCCAATCGCGAGGGCGATAGACGGTCTGATCGTGCGACAGATCCAGTCAGTGTCGCAGGTCAGCAGGTATTGACCAATCAGGGCGCGAGTTAATTGTGTAACGCTTTTGGATATAATTGTAATTTTAGCATAGTTAGGTCGAGTCAGAAAGGTAGGCGCGGTCGGTAGGATAGGAGGAAACTGTATAAGACAGGCCGAGTGTAGCCATGCGAAAAGGCAGGAAAAAGCAGCAAGACGGGGAATGCGACGGACTGACGGACGGACAGACCGACAGGTTACAAGGTTAGAAGCGGGGAGATTTCCAATGGGTTGAACCATGACACCAGAAGATACACGGAAGCCAACATTGTAGTTATTTAAAAGGAAAGACACGAGTCAGATACGGAATGGCGTGATAAACAATGTTATTAATACGTACTGAGGCTAATGAGCTGACAAGCCTCGCACAACCACCGGATCTAGCGCAGACACCGGCGTTGCTAACCAGGCTTAGGATTTACCAGACATCTAGAAACTACGGTTAAATAGATAAGTCTGTCTCTCATAATACGTACTGAGGCCCAGAGGGAAGTTAAACGTATCTCCATTGCGACCAGTACATCCATAATTGCGGTACTTTGCAGTACCGGTACTTCCATAATTACGGTATGTTCAAGCTGGAAAACGATGAAGCAAGATACATGACGCTGTATCACGTCTCTGCCACAGCTTCAGGTTACCCAGGTCGGAAGTAACCGCATTACGAAAAAGAAGAAGTGATCAGTTCAAAAAATAAAAAGTGACAAGTGTCCCGGCCACCCAAGAAGATACAACTGGCGTCCCTCAACGACTATCCGTTCTTCAGCAAAACCAACTCACTATAGGATGACTTCCGCTACCAAATCTCTGACCAAGGAATATAACCGTTAAATTGTCTTCTACTACGTCGCAGAATTGTTTTAGGTCAGATATTTCGAGCATCTTATTTTTGATACGTCACACTCGGATCATTTGATCGTAATATCAAATCGTTAAGGCGTTGGCCTCACTTTTCTAGGTGCAGTAAGATCCAACGTGACTAGAGTCATCTTTGATTCGTCACGCTCGAGACCATAACACATTACGAATCGCTAATCAAGTCAGGATCAAGCAGGATTCACGCCGCACGAGGAATCTTTGATTCGTCACGCCCGACACATTTACCTTTACGATTTTAAATTCGGTATTCGAGTTACATTAATAGGAACATGAGGGTGACTTGGCCTACCACGAAGCTGCTGGCATATTCATCCAGTAACATCCATGAAAATTATCACTTCGTAATTTGCGCTGGCTTTGAAGGACTTCCGGAATGCATTTTATCTACCGTGTGGTGTTGGTGCTTGCGGCTTTCGCCCTTTTCAAGGTGGATTCTATCTCAGCGGGTGTGACCTTCAATGAGGAGCACCTAACCATTCCGCGCTTCACTCGACCAGTCGAGGAGAATCTGATCAAACGGCAGTTAAGAGTTATGGACGACAACGAGAGAGGATTTCCAAGTGGTCCCAGCCTCGAAAAGATCGAAGCAATGTTTCAATCTTTGACGAATAAAATCACGACGAAATCAAAACCTTCCCAAAGAGACGTCCCCGACGAAAAACTATCACAACTGCTAGGTGCAGCAAAGCCAGTAAATAAGGCGGTTGAAGCTGCTGGCAGACTAAAGACTCTGCAGACCCAAAAGTGGCTTGACGAGGGGAAATCAACACAAGAAGTATTTCAGCTGCTTGAACTGAACAAGTTTATGGTGCCTAACTTTAAAAAGATCGAAGGCACCGTTTTTGGTCTACCGGACTTCAACACCTGGGTGAACTACGTAGACGATTTCAACGCAAAGAATCCTACGAAGAAGGAGTCCATGATCCCCACGTTGAGGACTATTTACAGCGACGAAGGCCTGACAAGGGCTCTTGAGCTGGCCAAGACGTACTCAACCACAAATGCGCTGGCCACTAAGTTAAGGAAGGAGCAAATCCAGAGGTGGTTAGACGACGCCCAAACTCCGAAATACGTCTTCGAGATGTTCATGATCGACGACAAAGTGGATGGACTACTTACAAACCCGCGATTCATCGCTTGGACCAAGTACGTAGACGATTTCAATCTCCAGTATCCCACTTCGAGAGCGTCGATGGAACCACCCATTGCAGCTCACTACGGCGATGATGCTGTATTTGCCATGCTTGAAGCAGCCAAGAAAGTCCAATTAACAGAGAATGTTGCCTCCAGATTGCAGGCTGAACAGATTAAGAGGCTACTGAACAGCAATCGCTCTCCCGAGTATGTCTTCGAGGCGTTCAATCTCCACGAGACTGGAGACAATCTTCTAAGCACTCCGATGTTCAAAACGTGGTTTAACTACCTCGAGAGCTTCAACAAAAAGAACACCGACAAAGAAACGTTGCTGGCTCCAATTCATAGATATTACCACGATCATGGTGTGGCAAAGATAGTCGCAGAAGGTATGAAGAATCCGAGCACAGTAGAACTCTCAAAGCAGTTGCAGATTCAGCGATACAAGCGTTGGCTACATGCTGAAAGGCCTCCGCGTGATGCTTTCAACACGTTCATCTTAGAGAAGCCTGGAGCGGATGTTATTATTCGTTACAATGAACGTCTGGACGGCAAATTGTATCAAGTACGTCTTAACAAGGTGTCGGATGGGCTTCTCTCTAGTCCCGAATTTCAGCTTTGGTCTAAGTATTTAGACGATTGGAACACCAAGTACCCCGACCAAAAACAGTCTATGGCCAAGATTTTCCAAGCCTTGTTCACCGAAGACGCTCTAGCAAAGATGATCATGGCGGCACGGAATAATCCCAGTACGCAGAAAATAGCCTCGCTCTTGGAGAATGCATTTGCCAAAGTGTGAGCGTATGCGAAGGCACCTCTGATGAAAATTCGGCGGAAGACGCAACTCTCGCACGAACACATGAGCATGAAGTGAAGTGGAACGGAGCGCACTCGCACCTGGTAACTACTACTGTAGTAGCTGCTATTACATTTGCGCAGATTCGAAAGCAATCTTGTTACTTCTACCTCTTGTTTGTTAGAAAAAAATTACGCGCTTATCATCGTTCTAGACTTCAATAGCTTCATCATTAGACTTCGCCTGAAAAAGCTCTAAAGCTCAGCTAAGCGCAACACACTTAAAGTGATGTGCTTACGCATCTCCTAGGCCTGCTTAATGAAAAAGGCTTTGTTAAACATTGAATCGAATTCCTTACGTACCGGTAGCTACATCAGCTCCGGAATGATGGGGGGGGCAAAATTCCCTGTAAATCACGACAGGTTGTCCAAATATAGATGGATAAAGTACATTGTTCGTTCCATTTAGCATTTCATTCTACTTTTGTACTCCATGAATATACTTGCTCAACTGGGCGCCATCTATGCAGTGATGTCCAAACCCTCCTAGCGTTAAAGTGACTGCGTCGCTTCCTTCCGTCGCAATTATACGCCGACACGTTCGAGTGCGAATAAAATCTGAAGGCGAATTCTTAGGGCAGCCTGCACTTTGAATGGTGAGCAGGACAATCTACATTCGTACTGCCAGGGCGATATAGCACGTCGAACTCAAACTTGTGAAGCGTAGTGGCCCACCTGTGCAGCTTGTCTGTCAAGTTGGAGCCCTTTAAGCGCTGCATGGTCGGTAACTATAGCGCCCATTTAGATAAGGTCGAAATGACTAAATCTAGATACGGGTACCGGTACTCTGACCGTGATGGAGACTTTCATTCGTTAAATCGGGCTTCGTCAAAATAAGGGTCACCACAAAAAATCTAACCTGCAGCCTAGATATTGGACATCGTTTCACGAGATAAATATACTGCACTTTGCTTGTCATTTTTTTTAATTTTGGTATGCCCGAGTCTAACGTCGAGCACCAGCTGCTCCGGCTTCATGCTCTCCTTGCCGACGATGAGGCCCAGCTAGAGGAAGTTTACAAGTCGTTGCAAGAGGCTGACCGTGTGGGTGGAGGATCCCTAACATCGGCTTCGTATGATTTCGCTCTCTTCGATGGTAATGCTCCCACTACAGTCGGTAACCCGCTAAATGCTTTTAGGGGGTTAGAATTGGTGCTGCGCGAGCATCTATTGGCAAAGGACATGAAGAAAATGTAAGCTACAAGGACAATGCTGGCATTAACCATGGTACCAATTACACTTTTCAGTGATACAAAGGCACTTGCAGCTCAGTTTTCCAGCGCACAGAATGGCTTCGACTATGTGGCCTTCTGTAGAGCTCTCCAGCAACTGCCTGCGCTTCAAAGTGAATCGAGCCAATCGCGCCAACGCTCTCCAACAAAACGACGATCGCGTAGCCCCATCAAGCAGCGAATGCGAATCGATAAGTGGCTGGATTCTCAACGTCTGCTCATGGACAGTGTTCGTCAAAAGCTCATCTGTGGAATCCAGGGTGGTGACCGTAAGGGGTTCCAAGGGGTTCAAAATGCTTTACATCATTTAGACAATAAGGGCGACGGCTTTTTGGATGTGAAGATATTCACAAAAAAGTTTCTCCAGCATCTTAAGGTTCCGTTGACGCGACCAGAACGAGAATTCTTACTGGAACAACTTAAAGCACAGAGCTTCGAAGAGGAGCGAGATGTCATCGACTATGAACAGGTGGATACTTGAGTAATTGGTTTTAAACTGCCCATCTAATGTGTTGATCTTCAGCTTGGCCGTGTGTGCAACCTGAACGGCGACGACTCTGCATCTGAATCCGACATGGACCACGAACAGTCTAAAGCTCCATCCCCTTCGAAAACTTCTCAACTTGGTGCCAACTTCCTCGCAGCTGAGAAACAGCTCAAGGAGTTTTTACATGCCCCCAAAAGTATCTCTGTAGACACCCCGCGCTGTCTCGTTACTGGAGCAGAAGAGTTTCTTGAACTTGCAGAAGCAATGGATCAAGATAATACTGGTCTGCTGTACGAAGACGGTGAGTTGTGTAACTTTTCCAGGTTTTTTACGTGACAATCTGAAATGTTCATCTTGTTGCTGCAGAATACTCGCGAATTCTGTCGAAATGCGGAGTTGACATTGATCCGGATCTTCTCAAAGAAATGCTCTCACGATTCTCACGTTCGCCCGGAAATCTGATCAGCTACACCGCGTTTCTTCAGTGCGAAACTTGATAATGTTATTTGTTAATCTCTCAACTAATGTAGCTGGTTTGTTTCGTGCTTCATAGACGCTACGGGCAGAATCCTCAACATTCTCGAGGGAGGCGAGAACTTAAGCAGCTCGTTCTCCACCTTTTGGCGCGGCTAACTGTACCTGTATCCGAGTGGACCCGGTTCTTGCACCAGCGATTCGAGAAATACGATCGCAAATTGCATGGCTACATCAAAAGTTCACTTCCAACAGAAGGTAAATATTTAGTTTAGTTTTTGTGCAAAAGTGACAAGCATGAAATTTGACAAAAACTTGTCAGCTTTTATGCGTGCGGTTCAGGGCCGCTCCATCGTGTTCAAGCTAACGACGGACGAAGCAGCACAAGTGACGTCGCTCTTTCTTCGTTTTTCCTCGAATTCTTCAACGAAGCATCTCCACTATCGCCCATTCCTTACGTAAGTCACTTAATCTTCGAAGTATTTTGTCTGTATTTTGTCAGTATTTGCCTAATTTGTTTTGTTGTGGCAGGTTTGTTGATGAGTGCCATCGGATCTCTCGTCCACCAGCAATTGACACTAAGTTGGTGCCATCCACTCCTGGACTTTTATCACCAGTTTCTCTAAAGGCCACGCAACTTTCTCAACCTGAAACAAATCTCGACATGTCCGTCGGGGACTACCTCATGTTCCACGCACTACCCGAAGAGCGACGGAATTTCGAGAGCCTTATGGAAAGGCTGCAAGACTTCCAAAATACCATCAACGACGAGAACGAGTCAGCAATCCAACGCATTGCCAACGGCATCATGATGCCTTTAGGAAAGAGACTGCGCGTCAAAGTGCAATTCTCTATCAATGAATGACACACCTCAACAGATGTCACCTACCCCTCTCGTGCTCGAACCTTATTTCGTGTCACCCCCTCCATGCCACATACTTTCGAAACCCTAGCTAAGAATCCTCTTGGTAGAGAAAAACAACCTTCAAAAGCTTCACTCTGTTTCCCAGTTCGCATTCTGCTTAGATCCGCGGAAGAGTTTTCGCTTTGCCCATGGTAAACCAGACGAAAAGCAAGTGCCAGCTGCGCCTCGAGGCCCGCTCTCGCGCCAGTTGCGCCCCCGCCGACGTCACTACTGACCCGCAACTACTGGCGGCCGAGTTGCAGTCGCGCATCGCCCGCGCCAATGAGATCCGCGCCATTCACACGCGGCAACTGGCAGCTCGAGCGCGTGCCCGCGTGCAACACGCCCAGGAAGTGGCCAGGGGGATGCGCGTCAAGCGACATGAAGAGACTAGGCGTTCCCGACAATCGTCCGTCTCGAAGCTCGACGAAGCGGCTCGTCGGCGCCATGAGCAACTGGAGCAACTGCAACTTCAGTGCAAGCAACGTGCCGATCTGATAATGGAGAAAGTGGAGCTGGTGCGTGCCGACCAAAACGACAAGGCGGATAGGGCACGCCGCACACTCGCAGGGCAACTCGATGATGCCGCTCGGCGTCGCGAGGAGCAAACGCAACAACTCGTTCGCCGCCTCAACGAGCGCTGGCAAAGCGTGGAAAGTGTCAAAGACCGAGTGGCACGGGTGAAATTCATCCAGCGATGGTTCCGTCGCCACGTGGCAAACCGCAAAACTGCCAAAGCGTTGCGCCAAGTGCAACAAGATGTGAAAAAGGTGGTGGACTGCTGGAAACAGATGAAGAGCGCGAGCTTTGAGCAGTGCATGGGTCTCTTGCAGCAGCGACCTGTAGTTCAGGCTGCACAGCGACTACTGAAGGTGCTGATGGCCGAGAAAGCGGACAATTATCATGTGAAATCGCCGCTGGCCAAGAAAAAGAGAACGGCAACTTCAAGTGCAACTTCTTCACCTCGCAATGGAGCCATGAGTTTCCGTGTGTTGATGATGGCAGGCATGATCTCGTGCCACCCGAACGAGATCATGGGCCAAAACCCGTCCAAGAGACTGCACTACGCAGCCAGTGTGATTCTCCTCGACATGGAGAATTTGTGTCTGTGTCTGGCAACATCCAGCGATTGCCAGAGGACGCAGGAGTTGACAAAGTGCGTGTCGAGACTCTCGGCCAGATTTGCCTTTTACACTGAGGCTTTTGCACGCTGGAAAGCGCGAGATGCGGAGCGGTTGGCAGCTGAACTGTTGACGTCGTACCGCGAGTTAATGTTGGTGCACAAAAAGTACGAGCTTCAAGCCCAAGAAGCGCAGCACGGAGTGGATGGAGTGCACGAGTTGCTTCGGCAAACTCACGGCCAGTTGATGCAAATGCAGAGAGCGCTCGAGCGCTTACTCGGTCGAGAAGGTGCTAAGCAAAAGGTCGAAGAACTTGGGCAGAGCTTGAAGCAAGAATCAGACACTGGGAATGCAGCAGTGGGTGGTGGCAACTCGAGTGCAAACTCGGGCGGCAACAACGCATCCCCCTCTGATAACGGCACAGCAACTTCAACGTCGTTAGGCACAAGTGGTGAAGGTGATAAAGAAAAAAAAGATGACGACGATGAAATGATGGGAGAGGACAAAGACAAGTCCTCTAGCCCACCTCCCTCGATTAATTTGTCGCTACTTGCCGACCGCAACTTAGTGCACGAGTTGATTCTCAACCCTCAGTTCCAGATCCCACGAGACAAAGATGTGGAGGCTTCGGCTGCTGCTGTGGCATCGCAACAGTCCGTGGCAGCAATGGCTGTGCGTGTGCGTGAAGCCATGACCAAAGCCTTCTGGGACCGCGTGATTGAGGCGAATGACATCGAGACGCTGCTGGCTCGCACTGAAGAGCTGCGATCCACCTTCCGAGACGCGCTGGGAGGAGGTAACAGCAGTGGTTTAGGCCCTGGACTGTCAGCATTGGCCGACCAAGTAGATAGCGCGCTTCGTCCTGATCAACTGCGAGAACTTATGCAAGATCCAGCACGAAATGTCCACATCATTCAAGCACGCTGCAACGGAGTTCTGGAGGTTATTGAGCGAGCTGAGGCGCCTGCTCGAGCTGCAAGTACACAAGAGTTCCGATCAGACTGGGCACAACGTATAGCAGCGGGCGTCATGACGCCTGTGCAGCTTCTGGTGGCGTTCTTGGCCTTCGCGCTGGATAAAGTCGATGAACTCCGTAGTGACGTGTTGAACGCGCATCTTGGACTTCTAGGCGCTTATCTGCAACGACACGGCGTGGAATACGAACAGAAACAGCTTCAAACTCGTCTCTCCGACGCTGGAAGTGTAGATGCAGCGTATCCGATGACAGTAAAGTGGCTGGCTCTGGAGATGGAAGCGTATCTCAAGAGACCGGACGTCGATGAGGCTGAGCGTGCTAGACTGACGCAGTATGACGGAGCTGCGTTCGAACGTTTTGTGCGCGCGAGTATCTTTGCATTAGTGGAGAGACATATCGATGGCTCCGCGTCACGTGCCTGGCCTGAAACATTCGAGCTGGATGTTGCTCGAGTCCGCGCGTGTCGTGATGCTCTCGACCGTATCGCTGTAGTGTCAAGTCTGCTGGCTCTGGTTCAGGAGTATGTTGCTCGTCGCAGTCTGGCTGCTCCTATCGGATTCTTTCACAATGTTGCGCAACAATTAAGCACCCTGCTGCAATCTCCTGGTGTTTCAGGTGCGCAACTCGCAGCACAGGCAACTTCTGACGTTCGTCAGTTGGAAACCTCGGGAGGTGAAGAGGAACTGCAATTGCTGGAGAATCGACTGCTGGCTTCTTTTGCCGCTGACAACCCTGTGTTTAAGCTCTTCTTTTCACGTGCAGCACGTGCGCTCGAGTCTGCGGTAACGGCAAGTGATAATGTGGATGGGTTGCACCCATCACTTGCGCCTTTTGCCGCTGATATCACAGAAGCCACTTCGATGTTGCGACGTCTTGCTCAGCACAACGAGAGCGTCAACGCGTCACTATACAACGACATCATTAAGCGTCTGGCTCAGTCTCTGTAAGACAAGTTTTGCTTGTGCTGTAAGGTTAGTTGATCCACTTGTTGCAAGAGAAAATAATGTGCTGTTGCCTTTTTCCTAACAACGGACGAAGTGGACACAGTTCGATTTTGTTGTAAGGATTATTGGCCTAATTGTTGCAAGAAAAAAAAATGTTTGCCTCTTTCCAACTAGCTCGATAGACGTGCACCTTGAATCGCTCCAGCACCGACGCTAGCGTCCGTACTGATGTTATACAGCAACTGTGCCAGCCAGCGGCTAGTGGTAGCGTCATCCTTAAGAGCTTCATCGAACGTGTGGTTACGCAGTGCCTCTGGTAGACACTGGCGTAGAGCCTCCTTAGCACTGTAACAATTGAACATAATTGTTAAAGAGCTGAAACGAGGGAAAGCAAAAAAGACAATGTACCGAGGGTTGTCCGAGAGACGCAAGTAGCAGCGTATGATGTGTTTGAGCAGACGCGGCGCTGGCACCTCCACCAGAGTCGCTACCATCTTGCTCAGCACTGTTCCCACGGCGTAGAACCGCTCCGGCGTGTGGCAAATGTAGGTGAGTCCCATGTCGTCAAGAAGGATCTTTTGCACGATGAACGTGGCCACTGTCTTGCTCAGTTCACTGCCAGCTTCCATGATGCGGAGGCAGAGCGGGATGATCTCCGTTTGCAACAAGAAGTTGATCACATCCGAATCATCAATCTAACACAACACGAGTTGCAGTTGCAATTGTCAACAATCATTCTTTCTTTGGACCATCGCTCATTTTACCTTGACCAGCGCGCCAATGACGCCGAGACTCGTCAGTCGCAGGTACTCGAATGGGCGATTTTTGCTCACCGTGTTCAGAAATGGGTACAGATACAACGGAATGTGTGCTGCAGGATTCAAGAGGTTAGTGGCAACTATTCTTTTTTTACAATGGCAACAGGCAACTCTTGAAGACCATCATTCTTCAACTCACCATTAAGAAAGTGGGTGCGAGTTTCGGAATGCGACGCCACGCACTGCAACAGCGCTAGCGCGTTGCAAACTCGGTTCGAGGCGTGGGCCGTGAGCTGCGGGGGCGACAGCAGCGGATATATGGCCACGATCTCCTGTAGCAGCGCCGCCACCGTGCCGAACGAGTGCCAGAGTATGGGCGCAAGCTCGGGGAACTCCTCGCGCTTCTTGCTGAGCTCTAGAAGGGCGCTCTCGCGCTGCTCGGGCGACGACAATTCGAGCACGAGCGAGTACAACTGCTCCGGGGCCTCCATGTCGTCCAATATGAACTAGAGCACTTCGAATAAGTCCGTTCTATTGGTCAAAATCGATTTTTTTCTTTACTAATACTTAAGTCGAAACCCTGTTTTGACTAGTTTTAACCCATAGTAATTTAAAAAACAAAATACACAGTTGCAAAACAAACAGTAATTTAAAAAACAAAATACAGAGTTGAAATTCCGACCCGTCTGTTTCTGGCTAAATCAGTACATTTTGCCCAGTGAGCGCTTAGAGAGCGGAGACCCACCGAAGCGAAGCGTAGGTCGGGGGCGCGGCGCGTAGCGCGGAGTACATGTACAAAAAAGGAGGTTCTATCTATACTGGAGCCACCAAAGCGAAGCGGAGGTCGGTGACTAGGGAGCGCACTAGCGTAGCGAAGCGAAGCGGGCGCGGCGAGGCAAGGAAGAAGTATATTGTTATGAGCAAGTTTCAAAACAGGTCAATAGATAACCCGTTATTCCAGTATAATTTATTAATTTTAATTATGATAAGCTACAATGCTGTCTTTTTTTTTCTTTCTGATCTATGTCCACGCAAAGTAATGTAATCAGCGTTGTCGCTAGAAGCACATCGCAAAGTCCCCAATGCCAATGAGGTTGAGTGGGGAGACAAACCATTATTTTTATTTTGGCGTGATCCAGTATTTTACTACTATTTGTAAATAAGGCTGCGATCCAGAGCCATTTGGCTACAGCGTGAAACAGAAGGGCAAAAAATCTGAGCCAGGACCAGCTACTCACGTTGTGATAATTATTGTCGAAAATAGATGGCTTGCACCGGATAGTTACTTGCAGCAGGATAACAAATTATCTGTTACATCAATGTATACTACTGCTACAGCTATTGAGAGGCGATCACTCCCAATTTTTCCCGCTCAAATGCATCACCTCCAGTAGCCTTCAGTCATGCGCTCGCTCATATAAATTGTACTTGCGACTGTGTTGAGGCTGTTTGAAACTGCTGGATCGGCCTCATTCAGCTTAGAAACCATGTCGAAGAACAAGAAGCTTGAGTTAATTCCTGGGAAAAATAACTTCGCTGAGAAAAGAAGCCTGCACGACAGTAGCAACCCGAGGCTTGTGGAAGAATTTAACTCCGACGATGAAGAGCGAGCTATCAAGCATCATGGGGCGTTCAATGGGAGCTCTGATTGAGATCAGGGCCAAGGTTGGCGACACGTATAGGAAATTCGTGGTCACGACAGTTCACTACATTTTTATAAGGTTTTATTTTCTCACTGTCTTGCTCATGGGGCAGTAGGGGCTCTTGCCTCTTAAAAGGTAACACATGGACATGAACACGAGTGCGGTAGCTGAGGTACGCCGGCAAGCTGCTAACTGTAGGACTCGAAGTCGACGCGAACGTCGATCCGAGCACAAATTGCGCGATTTGTTTTCGGCACTTCCCGTAGGGCACATGCGCAACAAGTTTGACGCCAGCTCAGACGCATTCATCGCGCGGGGGCAGAAGCCACAAGCAGGAGGATGCGGTGTCTGGCACCTCCACAGCAGAACCGGATCTGCATCACGTGGATCAGATGTTTGGATGCGTCACGCAGAACATGTATGGGTTTGGCTCGACGACACAGGCAAAAGCGGGTTGGTTTCGATCGTTCCGGAATTTGGACCTTAATGGTCGCACCGACGTCTATCTTCTCCAGGAAACACACGTAGAAGCTCATGAGGTTCGACAGACTCAGGATGCGTTGCCTCGGTACTGGAGATTTCGAATGGGACGTGGATGCCGGGACAGATCTTTCTGGCCTGCGGCAGAGACCGCAAGACGGGGTCGCAATCCTTATCGACTCATATGGTGGATTCACTGACATGCAACCTTCATACCTGGAGCACTGGTGTCCTCACGTCATGGCTGTCGAGGGCAAGATGCATGGATATCAACTTGTTATGAACATTTACGCACCTCACCAACGTGGGTACTAGCGGCACGAGTTAGCCGGATACTGCCTCATCAGATTAATCCAAACTAAAATGAATTCGTACATGGTCGCACCATCCACGAAACCATCAATATTTTTGATGTTGCTCAAGTGTGGCAAACAAGCAGGAAGCGGCCGTCGCGCTACTGCTCGATTTCCAAAAAAGCCTACGTCTCGCTATGTCGACAACATCGGTTTGTAGTACCAAGGCAACATGGATTCCCACCCAGATTCATCAGAGCGATCGAATTTCTTCACACAAGAACGACGGTGCGATTTATTGCCAATGGGGCATAGTCCACGATAACCAGTGGTATCCACCAGGGTTGCCCAGTTGCCCCTTCTTTCTTTGGCTTAGCTCTGGACCCATTCTACCGTCAGGACGGCTGGGATCGGGAACATTAAGACATTATGATTCGCAGCAACAGCGGCATGCTCGAGCTTCGTAGGGAGGGGGGGGGGTATGAAGATGGCACCGCCAGCTATTTTAAGTATCACAACTTAGTGCCTCGACTATACGTTCTGAGGGAGAACTCTAGCCGAGCGTCTGGGCCTCGAATCAATGAAGGGAAAGCGTTGGTTATTGTTTTACACCCAGGCGGACTATCCGCGAATGCGGTCCTACTCGGAACACTTCGTTTTCTAGATAGACTGGGCCTCAATCGATATTTCAGTTTACAAGTCGGTAGTGTGTCGGATCGCGCGAAGGTTTGAAGTATTGCGGAGCAGCATCTAGCCAAGCGTCTCTTTCTTGCATGCCATAAACCCACTACAGCTGATAAAAGGAGCTTGGTCCCACTAGCGGTGATTGCAATGAAGTTACGTTTTATTGGAAGACATGCGTGGGCACCGGCAGCTACAGCTCGCCGATTGTCAAAACAACATCCGTAACTATGTCTGGCACACCTTGGTGTCCGAGGTGACTCTTGGTACGAGGAGCTGGCTCGACGAAAACCTAGCTAGCCCTCTCCGCGATGAAGGCGGGTTGGCCATCCCGGGCCTCAGGGCAGAGCTGGTGGCGATGGCGTTCGCGACGATATCTCCTTGGGCCTAGGACAGAACCTGGATCGCTCACGTTGTTGTGGACGTATTGTGCGCTAGTAGGCCTAATGCCCTGCCACATTATATCACGACGGGCAGCCACCTTTTTAAGATCCGCTGTTGGCTTATGTAACTTCATTGTGGGCCACGGGTCTTTCCTTGGTCTCACGAGCAGGCGGTACAGCATTCGTGTCTGAAAAGGCGCACATGGTGGAGTCTTTACACGACACCGCAGAGTATTTTCAGGGATACGAATGTTGCTGGAATGTAAGGGCTCTCAGTCCTGACGTGTCTCGCCTCAGGAGATCGGTCTACCACGAAACTCTCCGAGTGGAACGTCAATTGTTGAGTACGCAATGTCTCGAATGGCTGCCGTACATGATACTGTCATATCAGCACCTTTCCACAGAATATGATGCTCTCTGTCAACCTTATACGGACTTTAAATTGCTACGGCAACAAGACAAACGGCTGAGAGTCGTGATGCACTGGTACACACATGACCGTGGACTCGCTATTATCACAGTGGTGGGACCTGTGCGAATACACAGAAGCTTTCAAAAGCCAGCTGGAGCGTTGGTTTATCTTCTGGTGCTCAACTTCCCGAGCGTTCTTAACAAGGTCTACTCTAACAAGGCGGTTCGCTTTCTGACAGCATCGGTGAATTTGCCGGTCGTTGTGGATCACCGGAGCAAGTCCTTCCATTGCTAGGGCCTCTGCCGGCTCTTCTGTTGGTATTTTCCGTGCCGGTCTCAAATGCTTCGGCTCTTCAGAATTTTCTGGGTGTGATACATGACGCGGAGGCTAAAGTGGTCTATCTTCATTCACACCCACGTTTAAGTCGGATGGTTTGTTTGTGAGTGGGCTCGCGACGGTGGGGATAATTTGGACGACACTACAAGCAAATTACCAAGACCAGAGCACGTCGAAAAGGCGCGGCGCAACGAGCGCAAAGCGAATCCCAATGGTTAACATATAGCGCCACAGCCACAAAAGGTCTCAGTGGCTGTGGTTGGTTGCAAGTCCGCAACGTCGTGACTGAAGAATTTGGCTTTTTCGATGTATGTGCCATCAATGGGCCGCACTGGATGTCCACACACATCCTGTGTGCCAGTGACGAACGTGACGTGTTCTGGGCATGACCGGTGATGGTCACACATCCGCGCATCTACCTCCAACGCTGGGTGTCGCCAGAATTGTCGCAGTTTTCAGCAGTGACTGACATTTTTGGATTTCATATGAAGTCAACCCGCCTTAATTCTGGGATCAGGTCCATCATTTTCTCTCTAAGCTGGAACAAGGGAGCCTCACGGAATGCATAACAAGACTGGTGGATTGCTGCTGGCAGCACGGTACGGCGACGTTTTTTCAAGCCGTGTCGAGATGGAGATTTTCGCAGTATGACCCTCCCAATGATGCTAGTGAACATACCCACACGGCGGTATTTGTCGCTAGGTTGCAGGCGGGCTACCTCACAGTACATCACCATCTTCTGACTGGCACACGTCGTCGGCTATGGAAATGGCGGCGCAAGTGGTACAAAGGGCCTTTTTGCAAGCCTGGAACCCGGTAGTACCGCCAGCTTACTAGACCGATCTTCACTCTTATCTACTGTTCTTCGTCGGCGGGTCCTGAGGGGATCTAGGACCTGGAGGCAGCGGGGTCGTGATCAGCAGACTTAGATTTACTATAGCTGACTCAACTGCTTGTTCGATTATTAGCATGTCTTATGCGGGCCCGAGGACGACAAACAATTACACTGAAAACCTAGGTTTGGTAACTGGGCTACCGCTGGCCGCCGGTTCACGTCGTCGGCGATAGCTTTCCTTTTCTCCGTCAGCACGAGCTGCACCACTGGCGCCCCATCTCAATGAATCATATTGGAAGTGCTGGCGTCTATTCGACAGACTAACTGTTGCCTCCTGGCGCCAACAACAGCGCGACTTCAAACGAGCTGCGGATGTGCTAGCAAACGCGGCAATGGATGCACAGACCACTCACGACTTAAACCTGTGTGTGGCTCAGCCGCTTATTCTCGTTGGAGAGCTGCGTTGGAACATCAAAACAACGACGTGGGCCACTGGCTCGCATGCAGATTTTTGGAGTGATATTCGGGTCCCGGGGTCGACATTATGTAATACATTCGGTGGACTCTGGTAAGGCCGTTGTGCTACTAGAGAGGACAGATGGAATATAGACGTCTGCTCATTCGCACATAGGTCGTCATGGTTTGCAAGCTACTTTCTTCAATGTACATCACTTCAAAACCAAAGGTTTAATCACTCCGGGGAGACGCCAGCAATCGTTAGTGCCAAATTTATGGGGCGCAACAGCAATGTTTCTCTGTGTACAAAGCTTGTTGGGATAAGATTCACGCGGTAGTAGTTTCAGGGCTACGTTGAGACGAAAGAGATGTGCTTGACGCGTCTGCAGTGAGCAGAACAGCGATTCCATTTGAGGGGTCTTATAAAATACAGATTTTGCTCGATCAAACTGCCGCTTTTTATTTTGAGACTACAAAAAAAATGTGACTTTTTTGTAGTATTAAATAAAAAAGGGCATTTAAAATACCCGTAAACACAAATAAATATGTGATGCTAAATTGCAACTTTAATTTGAACTACCCAAGGCCTTCGTTGTGGCCCAGAATAGCCGACCTGTAAAACGTTTACAAACCTCGCAGCAATTTCGAAAAGAAACGTCTTTAAGTGGAGCTGAACGCGAAACCAATTGCAGTGGTGGCCAAGACGTGCACGTGGATCTCCCAAGGTTTCTACTGCGATGACCATGGCTGAAGGAGATTCACCCCTTCCGGTTGACTCAGCCCAAGATCATGCAGTGGCGCCAGTGACCAACGTAGCTTCGGTAACCGCATCACCGCTTCGTCGAATGACCTCTCCAAATTCGAGACGACACACCACGCACGCGCCTCCGGGGGTTGTATACCCCATTGCGGAGGTCCTTCGCGCGGTAGGCGAAGGAGGACGACCGCATGTTAATGCTCGAAGAAGGAGTGTTTCATCACGGGGTATCGCGGGGACGCCCGCCAGTGGTGCACCGCCTGCATGGGCCACACTTTCTTCAAGTCTAAGACGCTCGGTGTCCGACATCCGTGGACACATCGAGGTAGCCAGTCGATCGGCTGTGATCCCTCCAAAGGAGACACCGTACGAAGAAATGATGGAGCGATTCCAGATCCGACAACTGCAACGGATGCCCTCCAGTATGGCTGTGGGGGTGGATGGATTGGTCTCTGATTTTGTATCTCCACCATCCACGGGAGTTACCGCTCGTACTCCAAGAAGCCAGCACACAGAGCACTATTTGCATCAGCGTCCGTCATCTCGCAACGTCAGTGAACAGCTCACCTCATCGCCCGAGATCGGTCTAAAAACTGCAAGTTTTCGCCACTTTGGCGATACTTCCACTTTCATTGGAGGTGGTCACCCTCCTCTCGAAAGTGGCGTCAGCGAAAGCCACTCAATGGAGCAGTTCAATCTCGCTAATGGCGACATCGAACAGTCATTCATGGACACAAAACAACATGATACTGCGTTGGCTTTAATTCAAAGGACGCTACATATGTGGAAACGCCGGCTTTTAATGCCGATTTCCCCGTACTCGAGGGTGTCACAGGCGCGGTATGCAGTCATCCTGGTGGCTACAGTCGCTTACGTGCTTTGGTTTCCTCTGGAACTCGCTTTTCCGGGCAACGCACATACTCATGTAAATTCTGTGGTAGGAATCATGCTAGGATTTGACGTCTTGATCTCTTTACGAACTGGATATGTGACCGAAACGGGTGTCATTGTCTTGTCCAGTTGGCAAATTCTGTGGCATTACTTGAAGACTCGTCTCATCATGGATATACTAGTTGCGGTGTCAATTTTGGTCCACGTTAACAGTGACGAGTTCGGCTCAAAATGGATGCACTTTGTACTCGGTGGCTTGAGTGTCGAGCGATTAGTGCACATCACGCGATTCGTTCGTATGATCTGGCTCATACGCGCTAATCAGACTGGAACGGGGAGTAATTTCTGGGCGTGGCTGTTGTATTCCCGCTACTCGCATCTGTTCCGTATCGCTGGCATCGTGGTTATGGTCGTGTGTATCGCACATTACATCGCATGTATCTGGACAATCCTGCTAGATGAGACAGAGGAGTTTGAAGACTCTACCATGTCGTGGGGTGACAAATACGCCGCCAGTTTCTATGCTGCGTTGCTGCTGATACAAGGTGAGGGTGTTCAAGCTGAAACTGCGGCTCAGAATCTCTTCGCGTCGCTGTCGGTCGTACTAGGATCGATCGTTCTAGCCGTAGTGTTCGGTCACGTCGCCATTCTCGTGTCCAATTTTAACGCTAACGCCACAAGCTACCAACGTAAAATGGAAGAAGTGCTCGCTATGACTGCCAAGCTTCAACTGCCTGTACCTCTGCGTGAGCGTATCCACGAATACTACGAGCATTTGTGGCATGAATACGAGTGTCTAGATGGAGAGATCGTCCAGTTTTCAAAGAGTCTCTCGCACTCGCTTGGTCTCGAAGTTGTCTTGTTTAAGTACATGGAAGTAGTCATGCACGTGCCGTTCTGGAAAGACTGTACCCCGGACTTCCAGAAACAACTGATGCTGCATCTCGATGTGCGTGTGTATCTCCCCAATGACTTTATCATGCGACAAGGAGAGGTCGATGTCGAGTTCTACATGGTGAACCGTGGTTACTGTGAGCTGGATCGCGACTCGAACCGGTTCGAAAGAGTCACTACTACAACACTGGCAACGGGTAGAAATGGCTTCAATATTGGACGTAGTAATAGTATGACAGCTCGTCGTCGCTCTGTCGTCATGAATGCTACTCAAATGAACGATACGACTCGACAGTCGGCGTATGAACTGGATGCCGCTCAAAGACGGTACTATTTAAACGGAGGTCGGGACGGCAAAGGCACCGAAATCCTCATCTCTCGAGGCCAAGCTTTCGGTGACATGGCGCTTCTGATGAACTACCAACGAGCAGCGAACGTTCGAGCTGTCACTCATGTCGAGATGTGTGTGTTAGCCAGAGAAAAATTCCAGACGGTACTTGCGAAATACCCCGAAGATCGTCGTCGAGTCGTGGTTGATATGCTCACGTCATACATGCAAAGCTATGAGGTGAGTAAGTCGCACTGTCCCTTGTTAGAATTGGTGCGTAAATTATACAGTCCAGAGGCGATCGCCAAGGCGTGTGCTCAAGCTGGCACGTCTCCTCCATTGGCACCACCAGCTCTCACCGTTCGGCAAGCTGCGGAGCGAATTTATACGGCGATCAACAAGGAGTCGAATGATCCGACGCTAAAGTTCGGGGTCGGTGTGAATATCCGCGATAAATTACTGGAATTACGCGAACGTAGACGTAAGAAACGCGGTCAAACGCAGCAAAAGAGAACTGAAATTCCGAAAACAGAGAGCAGAAATCGAGAAAGCAGTAGCCACTTCGATCGTGTAGGTCGTAATTACAGTGAAACGAAGACGGCAGTCGTGGAAACGTCAACAATGGAAGCTCCGACCGACCCGAATCTAACACATACGACAACGTCATCGTCTCTTCAGCATCGTTTACAGCAGCTGGAAGAACGAGAAGTGGTTATTTTACAAGGATTGAAAGACTTACAGGCCAGTTTGGAGGTGCTTCGATCTCGTCCAACCACTACAACGCACTTCAGTCGAAAGCGGTTAGCTCCTGGTGATGACTCGACAACGACCAAGCCTCCTCGTATACCATTGTTACGACGAGTAGGCTCCTTCGTGGCCTCAGGAGGCAACCCGGACACTAAAAGCCAAGGTCAAGGTGGGAAGGACTCTCCCACCCGATACGCGGATAAACTCTTCGGGTCTCAAAATGTTGCTAAAGATCGAGAGCCTCCTCGGTACCAAATCTCCAGACCGAACGACTCTTTTCGGTTTACATCGGAAATCGAGCCTCCGCTCTCGACAATTGAGAGCTTGCCAGTCGACCAGCCTCCACGAGACGTTGTTGTATCTGACAGAGGCAACACCGTGGCTTCTGAACGACACCCGGCGTCTTTCCAACCAACAGAGGAAGTAGTATCATTGGACAATAATCCAAGAATACTATTCCAACGCATGGCCAGTCGATCGCTACGGAAGCTGGAGGTAGCTGTCCAGTCTCGATCTGATGCTAAACCGGTAGCAAGAGCATCGGTAGCAGAGAGAAGAGCGACTTTTCAGCGTACACACAGCCAATCACTTCGAACGATGGCAGATGCTTTGAAACCACAGCAGCGACCACGACCGTCGATGACGTCAACGCAAACTCGCGTTCTCAAACGCATGAGCTCGTTCGTATCTGAAGGCCAGCTGAGCAATAAGCGGTCGCCGACTCGCTATGCCGATGAACTTTTTCGAAGGAAATCAATGATGGCACCAGACGAGGAAGGTTGGGAGCCCAAATAGCAATTCTACTGACTTTGAAGTTATTGCAATTATTGTTACTCCTTTCTGTTAATCCATGTGAACTGGAAAGTAAAATCAACCCCTATATAGGAGTAAATTCAAGTTAGAAACGTTTCTACTTGCAAATCGCGAGATACGCACCATTATGTTCGAGGAAAAAGAAGAAATGAACATTCCTAGTTTCGCTTGAATATCTGCGGCTGCAGTCTCAAGAACAAAGCCTAGTTGGTGGAGAACAGAGAATTGCAGTCGTCGTCGAAGAATCTGCTCGAATACAGCCAATGACAAAATCTGAAGTATCGCGTACACTGCCGCATCAAACTGAGTTGCCTTCTGTTCATCCCGTGTAACATTTGCCAGTGACGGGTAGTAAACAGCGTTAGGGAGGTGTGCTAGTATCGACGTATAGACTCCGACCATCACGGGAATCATACACGACACGTACTTAACCAGAATGAAATACTCCACCATAGACAACGTCTGGAATGGCACAATACTATCGTCGCTAGTGACGTCGGGTCTTCTGGGCTCTGCGCGCTGTAACGGAATGATACGTGATCGAGGGGGTGACTGTACCGACCATGAGTTCGAGAATCCTGAAATTCGTGAAAGTGAGCGGCGTACTAACGTTATGCTCTCCACGCCAGCTATGAAACTCCTAGCAGCTCGCCTAATAATTGGTAGTTTTGTGGGTATAGCAGTCAGCGGTGGACCATTTAGAGGAAACACAGAAGCTTGCGAGTGTCTGGACAACTTGCTCCGCTTTGGACGACTACCAATAAGCACCATTTCTGGACGATAAAGTAGTCGCTCCACACTTATTACTGAGGTGAATGTGTCGATGGCTACTAGAGTACCAATTGTCCAAAGTGACATTCGGAAGACAGGTCATGAGATAGACTTGATGGAACAGATTTGCGGTGAATATCACGCGTTCTGGAAGCCTTGCCAGGGAGCGTAGTCTGTCCTCTTCATCTGTACTGGAACAGCAGGCGTTCGCATGGACAGACGTGTAAAAACCTTAAGAATATAAAGTATCTGAATCAACACGAGTTGCTGAACACCGTTCAAGACATGGTACACGGCACTGAAGACAGGGTACACAAAGCACATTGCTGCCTCCACTGCAGAACGTAGTACAGTACTCGAGCTTGCGGCGTCTTGGCTATCGTTCGACGGCCCAGAATCATCACGACGCAGCCCATGAATACAGCACCGAAAACCCCTCCGGTAAGTTCGAATACGAACGGAATGGGGAACCCCCAGACTGCCATACAGTAATAGTCAGTAAAGTCACGAAATAGCAGCTCACAGTGATCGCAAGGCCTTGTCCGATAGTAATATTTAGCGTCGTCAGAAAACTTGAGGCTTGCTGAAGGCAGCAAAGAGACAGTAGATTGAAGACGAACACGTAGCGAACGACCCATCCTGAGTTCGTTCTCCAGCCGTCACTAGGCGAATTAAGAGGTAGTAATTCCATAGCCAACACGAAGCACAGTATTGGAAGTGGGGTCAGGAAACACACGTCCACAACTCGAGAAAGTGAAGAGGAATGACAATAATACTCCAACGCTCGAGCTCGACGAACGGTGTACGTACCACAATGACTAACATGAGTGCGTTTCCAGATGCTGCGTACCGTTTTCCAGAGCTTAGTAGCAATGGATTGGCTCTTCTTAACACCAGCGTCGCACGATGCCGTCACCACTTAAGTTCGTCGAAGAGGTTAAAGGCTCCAAAATAGCAACATCTATTCGTACTATGCAAAAAAGTCTGGCGTGACAGGCTCATTCGAAGTTACGGAATGAGTTTGGTAATACCATTTTTATGTATTAAGTTTAAATTCGCTAATTCGCGCTGCTGGAGCAGTTGTTTGTGCTGGTTTCCTGGATCTGCGCAGGCTTCACTGTGAATTTCTGGGATGACCTTCGTGAGTCTGATGCTGCGCCATTTGTGGCGTTACTTACGTTCAATATAGATCTTGACTTGGCTGAAAGGAAGCTGTGTCGACTTCGCACACTGACGACGCTTTTCGAGCTTCCCGAACTGACTGTACCGACTTCTTTCAGACGGAAAAGCTTGGGGGCGAGCATTAGCCCCATGATCACCATCGTGCAGATCAGCAGCGTACAAGCCAGAAAAACGTAGTACGTAGCTGCTCGCATGGTTACGAGATAAGACATGGGCATGACGAGGACACAGCCCACCAGTACCACCACAACCGATCCGAAAATCCACGGCGATTCCTGAAAATCCACAGATACATTGCGGATAAGGAACGACAAGTACAGCCCCAATACCAATAAAATCGTCTTCCAGAAGATCAGTAACGCTGTGAAGATGAAACTCGACGAGCTACACGAGATTTTATCCACCGTACCACGGACTTCCGACGCTTCTTCGGTCGTAATAGTCGGTTCGGGGAAATCTGCCCCGTACCATGCAATGAAAATAATAATGTCGCCTACATAAAAAATGGCGAGAAATTTGAGGATGGTCATGAATACACGGTAGACGCGCAAGGATTTCATAACCAGTGCACCGAAGATAGTGGTGAGCCCGATACACACCAGCACAGGGCGAATCCCACACAACGTCCCCGTGGGTCTTCCAGCGTACGCAACGGCAGCTCCAGTCGTGAAAAACCCTCCAAAAATCATAAGAAGCAGCATTTCATATTGCGATCGTCGGATAATCGGGGCGTTGCGGTGTTTAACTACAACCCCAGCTGCGGCTACAAGCAGCACAGCTACAATAGCTGCTAGCGCCGCAAGAGCTTTAAATGTCGGTGATGATGTTGGCATATATTCGCAGTCAATTCTGACGTCGTCCGGCAATTTAACGCCTCCAGAACACTCTCCAGATAATTTAGAATTTGAAGCTACCAGTTTCCAGAAGTATTTTACCGTACGATAAGCGTCCGAATCACAATCTGAGACGTTGTAATCGTAGAAGCTCGAGTCACATTCTGGTTTCTTGTCAATCCAGCCAGACCACGTGCGTTGGTTTGCTTCGATCCATTCACAAGAGCGACTTGTAGCGATAGTATCGGGAAGAGCTGCGACACCTCCGTCACAGTTGTTCGGTAAGGATAAATTCCCGGGATTGGGAGCTTTCCAAGCGAACTGTACTTCATGAATAGTGCTGTTAATGTCACACCCCGTCACATGGCTGACAATATGGTTATCAAATGAGCACATCGGTATTAATAAGCGGTCATGCCAGTCACGCCACGTGTCATAGTTCGTTTTTACCCAATTGCAAGCTGCGCGGAAATATGGCTCGGGATCGGTCCTACTCATAGCGATACTGTACTCACTTAGCAGAGCATTAATGTCCGTGTCAGAAAGAGTAAGCTTGGAAAATAAGGAGCCGATGGGCAAATCTTTGACTACTGAAGCTGCAAATTTCGAGAGTGCCAAGCTTGGATAATCAACGTCCACGGGGTTACTGGTTTTCGCTCCAAAGCCGTTTTCTCCATAGTCCCCAGTCGCCAATTTCACTCGTTCTAGGTCTGTACGTGGCAATGCAACACGATCAAACTTTCCTTTATTTGTTACATGGAACAAATCCGGTTCGTAGTGATAGAAAAACACTGGGTCACTGGATTTGGCGGCGTCTGCTGCGAATTGGTTCACCCCGTCATAAGCGATGAAACAAAAGTAGGCAGGCACATCTAAGTTATCGAAGACAGCTTGGAAGTATCCCTGGTCGTAATCAGGGACCATCAACGCCAGTACCAAGCAGGTTTTGCCATTGCTCTCGTATTGAGTACACGCTTCTGTTCGTTCGCAGTTATCCTTGCTGCCCATAATCCCATCGGCACAGGTGGTTTCTACTGGAGGATAGTACTTGGATGTGGACTTAAAAGACACTACGTTTAGTGCATCAATTAGCGCTTCGCTTGTTTTGTAGTGCTTCCAGAAATCAGGAAAGTACGGTGGCGTCGCTTTCATCCCATCCTGTACAAACTGATGCGTGGTATAAACCCCAGAGAGACCGAAGTAACCCACACCTCCAACTTGGTAACTCTCGTTAAAGTAAACCCTCAGATCTGATAGAGTGCTGGACGTCCACACTTCGACGTTCAGATGAATGGGGGTACACATTCCCGTTCCTACAGATGACATGCGCTCGGTGATGTCCACACCTGCTCCGCCCTTGTTTATCGACACTTTATATCCACTCTAAGAAAAAAAATCAGTAGAAAAACATCCATTTCTAAGCCATAAATGGTACGTACTACTTCTTCTGCCATGATCGCCAACACCATTGTGGCAAGAGCGTGTGTGTCCCACGCACACAGGTCCAAAACGAGAGTGCCCTGCACCTCCCCACGGTTTTTGCCATCTGCATCTTGGTTTGCGCCATAGAAAAACGCATCTGAAGTCATGCAATTGTCTGTGAATACTTTGCCTGACGATGTCCGAGGATCGTCCACCTAGCGCGTAGTTTTTTATTTAACATTAGTAAATACATTATAAAGATAGTGGCCTTACTCTGTGTCGTGGGTACTTTAGTGCTGGTTGCAAGAACGGGTGAACGAGTCTGCCGTTCGAGTCGCGGTCTTGGCTAGAGACACCTCGCTCCGCTTCCATCTGTGCTACCCATGCTGAATCAAGGCATGTGCCTAGGAAGCGGTTCGGCCCAAGCGGGTATTTCGCTGCGGAAAGTAAACCAGACATCCACAACGAGACGAGTGCTAAGGTGAACTTCATCACAATTGTTCCCACTTTACGCTGTCCAAGACTAAGGCTAAGGCGAAAGTTAAGACAAGTGCTGCCAACTATAGAAGTCGGGAAGTGACAACCTGCACGATTCAACCAATCACCGACATATTCAAACGAAATGTTCGCGAACCCTTTTTCCAGTTCTCTTTGTGTTTATTACGCTACTTGTCATTATCACGTTCTGGTTTAGCCAAGTAAAGTATACCAGCAAGCCTTAAATTTTACGGCACATTGGCTTCAGAACTAGTACGTCATATCTTCGAATTGTGAAGTCAACACAATACATGTAAAGGGACACACGCCATCGTGAGCTGGGTAAGAAAAAAGGAGTCTAACCCAATGGGGTCCAGAGTCTTGGGAAGCCACGTCGGATATATTCAAACTTGAAATCAACACCTACATCCAGCAAGCGCAAACGATCAGACTAAAACTTAATATACAAGACGCACCCTAAGTGGATGACCGCTTATGAACCTTGCCGAAATGAATCACCCGAAAGCTTAGCGTTATCACCATCCAAAGCAGCATCTTGCACAGCACCAGCGACCTCTGCGTTGTCAACACAAATGCCAGCTGGTAGAGAGCTCTCATCCCACAATTGCGTCTTATCACCTCCACGAGAAGTACAAATGACACGATCTGTAGCAATCCAAAAATAAGGAGCGGTAGAATTGTGGCGACAACATTTTCGCGATTCACACCAGTCATCTCGGTATGAAACTTCGCATTCGGCAGTTGTGTCATTACTAGCAGGTAACAGCAGTAGAATAACGGCAAAAAAGCCTCCAAATACGCGGTAATTAAAAGACACTCGGTCGTCAAAAGTGTTTCCAGAGATTCTACAAGAATTGTCGGTCTCATTACGTGCTTCGGCTGATACGATTCTGAGTGTTCCGGCATTCGAAATGTATCCATCGACGCCATTCGAGTGGATCTGGCTTCCTGAATCTCTGCTGGCCGTACAGTCTTTCGCGTAAACAATAAACAGAAACAGCTGGATGGAAGTGACGTTATACAGCTCTGAGGCTCGACATCTTTCAGGATATCGTCCAAACTATCGAGAAGTTTCTTGCTGGCCATTGAAATGTGGTGAGGGAGACACGACTTTTTCCTGATGCCAGCGTGAGACTGTTTCCTAAAATTTGTAGGGTTGCGACACAATAAGCAAATCAGAGCCAGCATATCGTCGCTCTCGACTGCGTTGTCGAGTGTCTTCCGTAGTCTCCACAAAAAAGTAATAGTACGTCGCTGGAGTTTATATAACATGACAATAGTTTGTGATAAATCCGTGATTGATATGGCGAATATAGCGGTGGTAGAGGTCGCGTTCTGCATACAAGTAGCCACATAAACAGCGTTGAAGAAGTCAGCTGTGAAAATTACCTCGACGAGCACCATATCTTCCAAATCCTTTGCAAAATGTAGCACGACATTTTTCGCTACCACTTTGATTACGGGGAGAAGCAAAATAGCCACAAGCTGATATTTCGTCCCTTGGCTGGCGCCAAAAAACATTTCGTACGCTGGAAAAATCACAATAGTCGAAGCTTGGGAGCATATGAACCGAATACATTGAAGGAGCTGTTTACGGTGACTTAGTATGTGGCGCATCCCGCGAGCTCCCAGAATCACGCGCAGTGAAATTGTCAGTAGGATGAAAAATACTGGCATTACCAATAACACGAAGAACGGAATTGGGAAAACCAAGTACTCGGCCACTAGCATGGCCAATCCGACGACAGCACTTGGTACTAGTTGAAGCATTTGTGACATGGGTACAGTAAAGTTGTCGATAAGGTACGTCATTTGGACCACGATGGCGTGCGTTGAAATCCCCACCATTACTGCAGTTCGAATCCACAGACCAAAGCTCGCTTGCCAGCCGTCAAGTGGATCTTGAAGCGGGACAGTTCCTGGACGAACACAAGTGCAACCATTGGCAATGGTGTTGCCGCACAGATTAGCAAAGCTCGTTCCAGGGAAATTGTGGTCACGAGTTCATTAAGAGCGAGGGCGCGATGGATGGAATACTTTCCGCCATAATAGCTGACTTGCATGCGGTGCCATAACCGCAAAAGGTTCATGCCGAGAACCTTCCAGCGACTTGTATTGCGTATTCGATGTGGTGGATGCTGGGGGGTTGGCGTCGGAGCTACCGACGCCATGGTTGCCTTTTGTGTCGAAAAGGACTAGTGAAAGGCTTAAATAATTCGGGACTTCGCCAACTTTTAATTTGGTAAAGATGTGTGCGAAGGTGGCAATTATAAATCAAGTGAAAGTAAACACTTGAATGATTTGTAGTGTTCAGAACACGTTACAGCTCTCGTCGAAGCTCGACCATTTAACCCGATAATTCGTATAGTATTTGTGACTCGCAATCTCGTCAATTTCACTTTACAGCTACTGTACCATTCTTTCAAGCTTCCGCTCGAAAATGTAGAGTGACGCCGGTGTAGCGAGTATCGCCTGGGGTTCCACGCCGATTTTCACTGTCGCGTACGTCGATACATTCGCGACAACGCGTGCAGACAAGTAATGTTACTACATAGCGGCTGTACACGGCAACGCGCTCATTCGAGTAGCACGACGCACATATTCGATACCCACACAAGTCACAGCGTCGCCATCGTTTACTCAGTGCCGGGAGAAACGAACGGGTACAAGCAATACAGTGCCAATTGTGACGTTTTCCTCCTTCGTTCCCATCACCCGATACCCCAGCAGCTTGGAATGGCGATCGTAAGATGTGCCACAATCGTCCTTCTAATGTGGCACGTTGTCGGTGATGTCGATGGCGTCGACGTATCACTTTTTCAAGTCGACGGACCCGTTTGGCAAGGAACAGAAGGCGATTCTGAGCCACTTGAAAGTCGCAGCCATCTGGTAAATTGCCTGTAAATGCTGCCTGGAAGGTGAATTGAAGCGTTTCCGGGTTGGTTTGAGACGATTGGGCTATCAACCAACCGGAGACAGGGTGCAATGATGTCACTCTCTCGGGTGGAGCCTTCCCTGCCGTCACCTCTGCCGGATTTAGAGAGCAAAACACCAGCCTGAAGCCATTCTCTGTCGGTGTCAGTAGCTCAATGTAGCAGCATTGTTCGTTCTTTGCGCCAGAATGACTGTGCGCATGCGTTGAGTCAGGAATTACTGATGATCGTCGAGATCGGTGTCCGAACGGGTTGACGAGACTATTTCGCACAAAACTGACTGTACGAACTGTGAGCTGCTGGTCCGTTGTCGTCGTGCTCTCTTGAGATTGAGGTGACAACAGCGAGCCTCGCTCAGAGTTCGGTATCGTGTGCAAAAGAGAGCTGTAGATAAAGTGTGATCCGAATAGAGAACGCAGAAGCGCGTTACTCTCGCTTTCGGTTGGTGCCCGAAGTAGAGACATGGGCTCCGATACTCGAACTTGCATCTCACCTCCAGTGACCACTTGACACTGTCGAGTTTGAACGGGGGGCACGGACGACTGGGCATGCAACACCCGCATATACACGTCGGTAGAGTTTATGCCGGTTCGTACATGTTTCCACCCATCTTGACTTGATAGATCCTGGAGATTTAGTGGTCCATGGGGCACTGGTATCCGCTGGATGCGTTCAAGTAACTCGCGATCGCTCAGTCGAACTTTTCTGATACTCGTTGAGAAAGTGGAAGATGGACGTGGAGCCCCAAGTACTGTGGTGTCTGGTGCTGTGTCAAGGCTCGGATGAATGGCTGACATGGAAAGGGAGAATTATTCAGTGGGAGGCCTCGAGGTATCGTCCCTGGGATTTTCATGTAGTGGCAAAGATCTGGGCCGCGAAGGGCTTTCAGAGCGTTTCCGGCGAACGGGTAATAACAATGCTATACGACGGACGCTTCTCCTCCATTGCAGCGAGCGTAGAGTCAAAGAAACGCAACTTCGAGAAGGTAATGTCTCCATTGCACGTCGTTGGGCAAAATACAGGCAACTGACTGCCAATGTGAGGGTTCGTGGTTCGGAGGTCTATCCATGATACGTCAAGCAGTTATAAATACGCTGGGTAGACATTCTTCTAGCTACAGCTCGTGGTCTCAACTGAACAGTCGCCACAGCTCCAGCTCTTTTGGCCGAAGGGTGCGTTCGACAATTATAGTCTAGCATTAAAATATTTATTAAAGCTCTTCAAATTTAGACCTAACTTCCATTCTTCTTCTCTCAACTTGGCCCTTTCTGTTGGACTCGCACGACTAAATATCCTGTCAATTCGTGTTATTCTTCATTATTCACAAAACTATGTTTTTTTTCGGGGCACAATCCATCTAGCAGCTAGCTTGTAAACGTGGCGACTACCTTGAGTCCATAACCTTGAGAGATGAGTGTGTATTTTTATGCATAGTGTCCAGGGAAATAACGTCAAAGACGCTGAATGTTCACACATCGGTAACTTTGGTGGTACCGTTGGAACTTCGTTTACGCCACCAACGTTTTTGGAGTTTCGATCTTATCGCGTCGGCTCAGGTTTAAACGATGAAGCCCATCCACGAGATCCGACGACTAGCAAGTCACCTTCACTAAAGTTTAGAGAAGGTGGCAAAATTCCCAATGTTGCCTGATGGACCGTGAGGCAACATTGGGAATCTTAGGGGTACCCTGCGCTGCGCACTGCACTTCACTTCGCTACCGACACGCAAGTTTTTTTTTCCCTCGAGCGCAATGTATTCACACACCAGCTAAGCCCTACGACTTATTTCGGGGGTCGTCCCTCTGTAGTTCATGCACAAACTTCCACGGTTCCAAGCAAGTCAGACGAGTGACTATGCTTTCAAGCGTGGAGCGAGCGTGGATGGGTGCAGCGGCCTCCGGTGACGTGGAGACATTGCGGTCGCTTCTGGAGGGACACTGGGCTTTGGTGAATGCGAGACTGGACCACCAGGTGTTGACTAGTGTTTCGTCCGAAATTCGTCACAAGTAACAATTAGAAATGTCCGATGTTGCAAGACGTACAAACAGCTCACAGCGCTGCATTTGGCAGTCTGGAAAGGCCATAGCGATGCTGTAGAGTTCCTTATTGACCACGGGGCTGACATGGAGCTGCAGGACAAGGTGAGGCCTGTCGAATCCTCGAAAGCTAAAAATAATGTTTCTAAAATATTAAATTGAGTAGACTGGAATGACTGCGCTACAGATCGACGTCATGCGCATCTGTTTAGAAAAAATGCGACCCACGGTACTGATGCGCTCATGGTGCGTCGATGTGAAGTCTCTCGTCGGGGTACGCTGCTATCTTGACAAACCTAAAAGATGTGAATCTTATTATCAAAAACAATCAATTGTGAAGGTGGCAATAGCTCAACGACGTGTGGTACATGACCGCTCTACGTATCGAGAAATTGATACGAGTGTGATCGATCTCCTGTTAGGATACAACGCGTCAGTGAACGAGCTCGACGAGGTGCGATGTTTGTATTTTAAGCGCAAAGTTTTTCAAATAACCAATATTATTTTTAATTGTCAAGTCTTGAGACGCGGTACTTATGAATGCTGTCGAGTACGGACTCGTCAAACACGTGGAAAAGCTGCTGGAACACGGAGCAGACGCTTACATCCTCGATCATAAAGGGAGAAGCGCTCTGGGCATAGCCTGCGAGCACGGGTTTCTGGACATTGTCAACGTTCTAGTTGAAACTTGTCCGAATTTGGTGAATTTTTCTGGGGTATTGTTATTTTTAATATCTCTGTTTGAATTTTTCTAATGCTGTCCATGCAGAAAAAATCGCTTGTAATGGCAGTCCGTCACGAGGCTTCCGAGATCATCGAGATGTTGTATGACCGGGTTCAAGGCTGTGCTTCACGTGATGACCCCAGCAAAGTACGTCAGCTATTCATTTTTTTGTTACAAATTTTCTTAACTTTAGTTGGTCAGCTTGGGGGTCATCTTTTGCTCATTGCGGCTGAATTCGACGCTCCCGAATGTGCTAACTTTCTTCTGAAACGAGGCATTCCTGTGGACTGGACAGACTCCAAAGGAGTGAGTGCTTTACAGATCGCTTGTGTTCAAGGTCGCACCGAGATCCTCGAGCTTCTTCTTAATGAAAACCCCGAAAACCAAACCAAAAACGTCGAAATTGGTCGAATCTCCACCGACGTGGCCACTCTGACCCACCCTTTAATCAAATTGGGTATTCTTCAAAATGAAGACGACGTCAACAGTCACCAAAATCGGGTAATTTGAAGCTGTGGCAGAGACGTGATACAGCGTCATTAACGACCGTATCTAGCGTCATCGTTTCCCAGGGTTTGACAGCTTGAACATACCGGCGAACATGGCAATTATGGAAGTACTGATTCGCAATGGAGCCACGTTTAACTTCCCTACTGGACGAAGCCGGGACTCGGTTCGTAACATTGTTTCTCATCGCCATTCTACACCTGACTCGTGTCTTTTGATTGCGCTTCCTTTTAGATAACCACACTGTTGGCTTCCTTGCTACTGCTTGTATCTTCTGGTGACGTGTCAAAGTTACTGGTGGATCTCGCAAACTCCGGGGCACTACGGCACAAGGTAGAGAGCCTTTCTAAATTATTTTAGCCTCGTATTTTTACCCGTTTTTGTAGCAGCTTCGTCATGTCATTTTAGCGCTCTCTTGGCAGAATCACACGTACGAGGCGCTCAGGTTAACACTGCTCTTACTCTTCTCTCCTTGGGTAGTGGAAGTGAAGCAGGTAAGAACATTTCTTCGTCGCTTTTAGTGCTCGTATAACCACTCGTTTGTTGGATTTCCAGGCACTTGCAGTCCTTGAGCCTTGGCTGTCACGTTGCAGTGTCACTTTGGTGACGCGAAAACTGCTTACAGACGCGCTGACTCTGTAACATTTCTGGCATTTCTAAATGATGTCTGCTCCTCGGGTATCAATCGTATCCGTGATTTCTAAATTGAAAATTGAAATCGACACCTGCAACACGTTCAGTAATCGGTAAAATAAAGAGCCCATCTCCTTTTATATATTTTTACTTACCAACAAAGCCGAGTTGGTACAACATATTCATCCCGCAATTATTCTTGATTACCACCGCTAACAGCACAAAAGTCGCGATCTGGAGCAGTCCGAACACGAACACCGGCACAACAGTAGCACCCACGTTTGCAGGCGTCACGTCGGTCATTTCGGTATGGTATTTTGCACTCGGAAGGTGAGTCATTACGACCATATAACAGCAATAAAACAAGGGTACAATGGCCTCCAAATACGCAGTGACGATGATACACTCGGTCGTGAACAGCGCTCCCAGTGTTTCACGCAGAATAGTGACACTCTGATTGCTCTTATGACGGTGTACCTTAGTAGCCCACGTTACGGTAGAGTCAACCGAAGATAACGGATGAACTATGTCGTTGTGCTTCCGGACAAGAATATTGCGGAAATTACGCTTGGGTTTCTTGCCAGGGATCACTAAATGCTGTACACTGGAAGACGATGCGATCTTCAGTACATGGTCAACATCAGAGCTCTCTTCACTAGATAACCTTTCCAGTATTGCTAGTAACTCTCTGTCCTCGTCAGCTAAGACTAGTGGGAGGCAGGACCGTATACTGACATCGGTACGTGTCTGCTTCTTGAATTTCTTAGAATCTCCACACAAAGCACAGAGAGCGTTCACTAAATCGCAGCCACTCGGGTCGATATCAATTGTCTGGCAGAGTCTTGGTAGCAATTCTGCAGTTCGGTGATGCAAGCCAAACAGCATAATAATCGTCTGAGACAGATCCGTGGTCGTGATTACTGTGATCGCAGTCGCAGAGGACGCACTCTGCATACAGGTGGCCACGTAGACAGCGTTAAAGAAATCTACCGTGAAAATTACAGCTTCCGGTAACATATCCTCCATACTTGCCGTACATCGTAGCACCATATTTTTCACAGCAACTTTGATGAAAGGCAGGAGAAGGATAACCGGTAATTGGTACGATGATCCTTTAGCGAATCGGAAAAGAGCTTCGTACGCGGGATACGTTAACACCATGATGTTTTGAGCTACTATGAAGCTGATAAACCGGGTCAACTGGTCACGACTTTCTACCATTTGATGAAGCGTGTGGGTCCCCAATACGATACGATACGACATGATCAGAGAGACGTAAAATACCGGAGCTAACGTCAAGACGAAAAACGGTACAGGGAAGATAAGTCCAGCTGAGATCCCTACTGCGAACGAATGAATAATATGCGTAAAAATTAATCCTATTTTTTTAATTTAATGATTAATTTATGGCTGTCCACAACGGGAACAACCCCAATTTTGAGTAAGGTCTAGTCAAGTTACAGCGTGGGGGTGCGCTGAACGTCGCGGAACAATTAGCCTGCGCTGAATTTAGGTCGCCTGATCTCGAACGGTCGTCTTCAAGAGCCGCCGAGAGCGTTCTATTGTGAGAGCGGCGTTCAAGAAACGCAATTGCGCTACGTCGACGTCGCGTACATCCCGCCAACGTCTAACGAGTGTGAGCCTCTCGCTAAGCTGGTGCTGTCTGATCTACGGAAGCGAATGTCTCCAGCCAGGCTCGAGATGATAATGTTTCTGAACTACAATCGTGACTTGCGAAGTTTTGCAAATAATTAAATTATTAATTTTCTCAGTTCACATCGATGTATTAATTTAAGTATTGCATTTTCGGGTTCCCTGCTGCGAACGCAGTGAACAAGATCGATGTGCAACCGGAAAGCGCAATCATTCTGGCCACCGAGACCACGACATTATCGATTAAATACGTTGCTTGGGTTGTCAAGGTGTGTGCTACCACGAAAGATATAATTCCAGATCGAATCCAGAATCCGTAATTTACACGCCATCCTTGTGCTGGATCTTGAAGAGGAATCTCGGCTTGGCTGCTCACAAATGCCACCATGGGGAGAGGAGTCCCAATACACACAAGCAGCACGTGCTTCAGGGGCGTATTCCTGGTGTAGGCATCCAAAGCGAGCAGCCGATGGATGGAGTACTTCCCACCGTAGTAAGTTACTTGTAGGCCTTTCCAAGCGTCGTGAAGTTTGGATAAATATCGGGGTAGAGAAGTTGACCGCATGCTCCAAGCAGGTGGCTGACACCAGTGATGGACGCCCCTCACTAAGAATAAAACAAGCGTAGCAATCTATTTTTCAATGCTGTTATTTAAAAACTACTTTTGAGTATTCTCTGACGACGTTTAAGTATTCCTGAAAATCTGCCCAGTTTGGGTGGTTCTTGGCTTTTCCTGTTGCCGGAAGTCCGAAAATCTTGCGTACGTCTTTCTCCGTTTTCCCGTCGACATACCATCCCCTGTAAGTCCGCCTTCGCTTGAGCGCCGCGACTGCCGCAGCGTCTGCAGCCTCCTTCTTTTTCTCCTTAACGAACTCTAAGTATTTAATGTATTTCCCCCAATTCGGGTGTCGGAGTGCTTCACCTTTCGCTGGAAGGTCCATTATTAATCGCATGCCGTCACTAGTTTTGCCTCCGTCGAACCAGTGCTGATAGGCCAAGCGCATCAGTGCATCGTCCCAAGCTTCATCCCCCTTTCCAAGCACCGTGGCGACATTGACCCTCTCCTCGCCATCCTCATGCGCAGTGTCTTGATTGTTAACAGGGTCTGTATTTTCTGTAGCGTAGAACCCCCGCAACTGTCTGTCGTAGTTGTCGTCTTGGACTGTAGACTCGATCGGTGAGATGAGATCTGACGTCGCGACGTTCATTATCTGCGCCCGATGGGCAGATAGAGCATCGCAGCTAGTCAAGACGATAGCTGTAGGAAGTAAAGTGTTGCAAGCGCGCATTTAGCTGCCACTTCGTCAATGTGAATCCTACAACTCAAAAGCAGAACTGAACACTTGAATTAACGGGAAAGAAACACTTAGCAAATCGCTGCAGCATTTGGGTCACACGGCATCTCGTGGACTCTACCGCCATCTCTTGGGCTTCAAATATAATACAGCTCCAAATACGGTATAATATATGTACCATAATCTCTTGAGCTCCGAATACTATTCTACATGTACCGGTATTTGATCCGGCTTCCGTTGTACCTTTAAAGGTACTGTATACGGTATTAATAAATAAAGTAGCTTTTTAATGGATCGGTAAGAATTAAACGCATTTAGCAAACGCACCACTCTTTAAGGAGCTGACCAGAACAAGCGATGGCACTATGTAAATAATTGGAAAAATAATAATTTTAATTATTCTACAAGTCTGTTAATTACTCCATTTATGAAGAAATGATTATAATTCTTCTTTTAACAGTGTGTGAAAAACAGTTGCGTCTCGTGTATCAACCTAAGGTATACATCCAGTGGCTCCTTCCGTCATTTTTTTCGAGACAAATTACCCGATTTACCGGTATGCCATAATCTTCCATAATTTATGGAAGTCGTGATAAGATTCAAGGATTTGCTCATTCACTTGCCATTTCTCTCTTACTGTACCTGTAAGACTGGGAGCTTTACCTCAAGTTTTATAATACTTCGAGCTACGTAAGTATGTACTCTCATCTAATGGCATCGAAAAATTCCATACCGTACAGTACTACAATATAGTTTTGCTTATGTAAAGCTCCCAAACTATTTTTGCATAACTTCCTGTGTGGGCCACACCTTGGTGCAACTTCCAAATTTTTTTTTACCACCATCCGATGCCGACGCCTGCTTCGTCATTACTGCGCAGCCTACAACGGCCTCTTCGCGCCGTCCCCAACGTACATCCCCCGTCCAAGGCCCCTTTAATATATCAACTAGCTGCATCTCTCTCTACATCCTCCACGTCTTCGCCCACGTTGAGTACGAAGACGCGCAAGAAGCAAGCTCGACTGGCTAACCTGCCCATATTTTGGCCAATCACAGGTGTCGATGAACCTCCTCAACTACGTCCACACGAAGTGGACATTGTGAACCGCCTGTTCCAAGTTCCCAGTACGTTGATTACGTCGACATCGGATCCGAACGACCTTCCGGATTGGGATGTTCCCGAAATAGCGTTTGCGGGACGCTCCAACGCAGGCAAGTCGTCCCTAATCAACGCTCTAACCAGGCAGAAGGGACTCGTTCGGACCTCCAAGACGCCAGGACGTACGCAACAACTGCATTTCCTCAGTGTAGGAGGCAAAAAAGGGAGTTTACCGGAGCTGTCCCTTGTGGACATGCCTGGCTTCGGGTTCGCCACCGCTCCAAAGAAAGTGGTGGACGAGTGGCACACGCTGGTCGGCGGATACATTGACAACCGCCGTGGGAACAATCTTAAGACGACCATGTTGCTCATTGACGCTAGACGCGGACTCGGACCGGCCGATCACGACTTCATGGACTTTCTGCACGACCTGGGGGCGCTGTACCAGGTCGTGTTCACTAAGGCGGACGCAGTGTCACGCGGCGATTTGGAGAAGCAGATCCACAAGGCTCAGGACGTGGCCCTTAACGCTGAACGGATGGTAAGATGGACATTTTTGTGGACGTTGGTGGACAATTTGATTCACCTGTATTTTTTATCTTACTATACAGAGTATGAACCCGATCATCCAGGTGACGAGTGTGAAGGAAGGATTCGGAATTAAGGAACTGCAACGTCAACTCGTCAGTATGACGGGGCTGTTAGCGTTAGAGTAGAGCAATAGAGTAACGCGGGAGGACTCTATTTTGTTAGTTCTATCTCGTTTACGTTACAAGGTTAAGGAGTTTTTTACTTGAGCCGTACGATTCTGTTTTCGGGAACGTGTCGGGATTGTCCGATTTCATGTCGTTCTCCTGTCGTCGAGATCTTCGTCGTAACGAATGTCGTCGCTGGTCTTCGTCGCGTCCCGAGAGTTGCAAAGCAGGGAGTTCGGATCGTGTTCTGGACTGCGTTTTGTCTTCGAGAACACTGGAAACGTCGACTGGTGCAGTTCGGGGGATACGAGGAACAACGCGACTGGAATCGACAACACTTGGGAGTACGAACGACGTGGTTGGATGTGTCAGGAGTGGACAGAGACGAGAGTTCGCTCGTAATTCAATGTTCTTCGTGGCCTGTAGGATGGCGCTGGAAACGCTTTTAGGGGTCTCATTGGAGGTCTTAGGACGCAGACTCTTACTCCTTGCAGCGCTCAAGGTTCTCTTTGTCACAAGCTTGGGATTTGTATCAACGTCTGCCGCGAGACCGGACGTAAAACTTGGCTCGTCTTCGGTTTTTGGACGCGATGGAGGGGTGGCAGTGGCATAAGTACTTGTACGTCGAAGTTCTGGTTTCCCCTTGCGTTTCTTCTTCTTCTTGGGTTTCTCCGCTTTCTTTATGGTTTGACTGACCACTGCCTTAAATTTCGACCCTCTCTGCTTCTTCGTATCGGGTTTCTTGTCACTGTCTTCAGAAGGATTCACCGTCGTTGATAGTTCTTCTAAAACAGTAGATGGACTCTCCTTGGCTTTAACAGCGTCGACTTCGTCAAGTGACTCACTACATGAAGTGACTTGTTGTGTGTCACCCTCGGGACTTGGAGGGATTGGCTCTTCCTCAGCACCCGAAAGATCCGAATCCATTTCATCGACCTCTCCGTTGACGTCAACACCAGACGAAGCGAACAACGCAGAGATGGCAGCTTCACAGTCAAGCAGGAGGTCTCTTGCAAGGCGACTTTCTTCGTCTTCAATGTCCACTTGCAGTACCTCGTCGACTTGTGCTTGAGCACTCGGACGACTTGGCGAAGGAGCTTCAATAATGATTCCTGGTTGAGTCACTTGCTTCTTTCGCTCAGTATCTAACGCTTTGACCTGAGACGTGAGACCGTAGTACAAGAGCAAGCTCTGACACCATGAACGTCCCATTTCTTCGAGGTCATTAGTGGAGAATTGTGTGTCTCTTAGCGCTCCAAAATCGGGTCCGCAGAAACTCGCTTCGAGTGTATAACTGTTCGTCACTCCAAGCTCTTGATTCACAACCACTCGGGCTGTATTCATCTTGGATTTGTGCACAGAAAAGTCGCAGTTCCCGAACGAAAAACACTTTGCGTGTCGAGCAACGATCATTGGAAACACTCGAGGATCCGACCTAAGTCCGACGGTATCGGAAGGAGCTTTTGATCCGTCTGTACTGGATTTCTTCTTTGCAGAGTAACAACCGTATGTAAAGATGTTACGATTGATACTGTGTCCGTGTAAGTCGCAGTAAATAGCGACACGTCCGCGTGATTGGAAGTGTGCTAGCTGCTGTTTTAAGTGGTATATCGTTGGGAAGAGCTGCTCAATGGGGCTGTTCCACTTGCGATTGAGGTCCCATCCTGCCAGATTGACGCGCGTGTTGCCGTTAATAACACCGTCCGGGTTGAGCATGGGCACTACTTTAAACACAAAGTTTCGTCGCAGAACTGTAGCCCCACTGCTGGGACCTGTGAGATAGTCGAGCATTCCCTGCATCATCCAACTGCTATTGGGCTCGCCTGGATGCACCCGAGCCGAAACTACAATAACTAATCAGATACTCAAAGGTTAGTATGAAAAATATACAAAAAAAAACAAGATTCGTACTACGTCGATCGTCGGGTGGCAGACCATCTTTACCCGGAGAAGTGATTGACAGCAGATCACAGGAATTGCCAGCTATACTCTGGCAAAGCTCAGTACGACGACATGTTACAGAACGTTGAGGATCTCGTTCCAGCAGATCCAAGTAGTCCATTAAATCTAGCAATAAAAAATGGGCTTAGTTTTGGAATGTGGTAGCCAATGACAGCGTACCGGTGTATGTGTACGGTTGGATGCACGCGAAGTAGACACAATCGTTCTCGTGTTCGAATTCGTAGTGGAAAGTCAATGCGTTGGCCCCAGGAGGGGCCAGGGGAGACGCAGTCATATCGTATCGGATACAAGTGCCTCGATGTCTCCAGCCTATTCCTTTCGTTGCGTCTTTTTCTGAGTAGACTACAGGCTGCAAACCTTGTCCAAATAATGCCCCACTTTTCGCAAGATTGACAAGCGAGAAACGATACGTGATCCCTGGTTTCCCATTGCGAATTTCAAAGTAAAACCATTGACGATAAGCTCCATTCTTGACGTCCGGATGGATCAACAAATCATACTCTTGTTGCGGTATCCGTGATCCCGAATTTGTGGGTATTTTACGAAATACTCGCTCAGCTCGAAGTAAATTACCACTTTCGAATAACGAGTCGAAGATTAGTGTGTCGTCAGGTGCGTTGCTGTCTCGGAAAATATTAGGTCGATTGTATTCATACACGTGAAGACGTGACACCTCGTCGATCTCTTCATACGCTTCAGCTTCAAAATCCAGCAACGATTTGCTCTCGTGAAGAATCGGTTCAGGTTTTGGTGGCTGTAGACCGTTAAAATCTGTAGATGGATTTTTTTTCAAGGCGGCTATGGCGACGGTATTGGGACTATGTCTGCGAATTGGTAGATGCAATGGACGTTCATCTGGGACCCCTGTACGGACGTGACGTGGTTCCTCCGGCAAGTTAATGAGTGGCAGCGGAGGTGGCACCAAGATGGACTGACTCACGACCGTGCGGAACCGATTCGCACGTGACATTTGCTACAAATCCCACAGCCAAGAACTCAAAAAAAGACGACGGAAAAAATGAAATTAACAAGAGTTCTCCAGTTGCTCTTATTTTCGGCCTCAGCAACCGCCGAGTTCGTCTGCATCCCGTCGTTTCAGTCTCGTGTTGCAAGCGTCGCTTTGACATCAAAGGGGAAGAAGAGAACATGGCGAGCAGGTACGTGGTTCTTGAAGTGGCCCTTATCCTGTTTTATGGCGACCAACTGTGTTGTAGTACGTATGATAATCTATGGCAGGAGGCCATGTCGGAGCTCAACGAGCAAGTTCATATTGAGGACCACACGCTCGAAGACGGTTTAAACGGAACATCCAATGAACCGGTACGGCTTAAACTTTTTTATACAGGTGTAGTCGAGCTTATCCTATATTTGTATCCTGTTAGCCACCGCAAGCCTCGATCGTGGAGGCTTTCCAGCATTACGCTTGTCTGTACATCAAGTACATTCAGATCTTGTCTCGATTGTCCGAGTGTTACGACCAAATGGTCCATCCCCAGAAAAGGATCGACGTTAAACAAGTGATTGAAGTGGTGGCCACAAGAGTAGTGGAGCTCAAACATCAACTGGTCAAGTGGAACCCTCCTAACCCGGACGTTATGACGCAACCGGAGCGTAGTTTCCCGTGGGAATACGTCAATCTCGACGACATCCTCGTGGACCTCAAGCTTCCTCCCGAGACGGTAGAGATCCCAGTACCTCAGTCGTTTCTCGACGACCAACACGACGACCTCGTTCGTCGTGACCGACTGGTTAAAGGGTACATGAAGCTTAAGCATGGCGTCGATTCCATCCAACTGGATGCAACCAAGCAGTCCACAGTATTGGGAGGTATAGGCATCCTGTCGCTTGATGAAGCTATCGCTGTGATCCAGAGGAACGAACGAGGTCGTCAGGGTCGTCAACGTGGTCTTCTGGTCCAGGAATTACGTGAAGAAGAGCGTCAGCGTAAACTGTATGAGGCAGCACAAGGCGCTCCCGAGATGGATCCGGATATTGCTGCTGCTAACATCCAGCGCATGTTCCGAGGCTTCTGGTCTCGAGCTGCTGCCGCTCGAGAACGTGACGCTGAGCTTGTTTTCATCGGAATGAAAGCTCCGGCGATGGATCGCTCGGTTCTGAAAAGAAACTTGCCGATGCGCGTCTTCAACGTCGATCCGAGCAACTTGAGAACAAGGAGGAATACGAGCGTGCTTTGGTGGAATTACACGGTGTGGTCACTAGTGAAGAAGGGCCGTTCATGAAGGAGAAGATGCTAGAAGAGCGTCGATGCTGGATCACTGACGTCATGGCTACAGGACAACTGCCTGAGGACCTAACTGGGTTTTATACTGCTTTAAACGGTGAAAGTGCGGAAGATATCGCTAAGGCACAGGCTAAGGAAGAAGAAGCAAGAGGGAAAAAAGACGATAAAAAAGGGGCTAAAGGGAAGAAAGAGGACAAGAAAGCTGCGAAAGGGGCAAAAGGTAAAGGTAAAGACGCCAAGGAGAAGCAAGAGGAGGCTCCGGAAAAGCCACCGCCGCTTACGGGACCTTCCGAACTGTGTACTAAATTAGCTGGAGGCGTCTCGCAGTACGAGAAGGTGTGGCTTGAGCGCGAAGAGATCGACAATTTCTACCAGAAATATGACGTAGCACTCGCCAAGGACGTCGTTCGTGGCCCTGTGGAGGTCCAAGTACGTCAGCAAGTAGACGAGATGTTGGTGTTGCAGCTAGTCAACATTAAGACGCAACTTGAAGCCGCTGCAGCAGGCAAAAAGGGTAAGAAAGGCAAAAAAGGGAAAAAAGGGAAAGCCAAAAAGGGCAAGAAAGGCAAAAAAGGGAAGAAAGAAAAGGGCAAAAAAGGTAAGCCTCTGCCAGGTGAGAAGATCGCAGAGCTTAAGGGCCGTGCGCCGGACTCGTTCCTCAGTGTATTAGTCGAGAACCAGATCGTACACGCGCCACGTCCTGGAGCTCGTGTGCGAGACTTCGTGGGCAGCTTTAACTTCCTCGGGACTATTTTCCAACACTCGGATCGTCGGGATCGAATGGGAAATTGGGTACCTCAAGACCCTTCAGGAGCTCAATTACGGCAGTTGATTACGGAATACGGCGTTTTACCGCTGGATTCTCCATTTATCAGAGCGCGTACCCCTTTAGTCCGTTCATTGATGCTCTACGGACCTCGTGGATCGGGTAAAACCATGTTGGTCAGTGCTTTAGCCAACGAGACGGGAGCTCTGTTGCTCAATTTATCGCCGAGTAATCTCGCTGGTAAATTCCCAGGCAAAACAGGGCCGACGAAGCTCGTGCACATGGCCTTTTTACTGGCCAAAGCTGCTACGCTACAGCCTATTATCATCTACATGGATGAATGCGAGCAGATTTTCGCTGGCGGGGGCGGCAAAAAGAGCAAATCGGCTGCAAACACAGAAGGTCCGGCTCGCTTTAAGAAGGACCTTTTGCTCTATATCAAAGCTGCATTAGAGCCGTCGGATCGTGTTCTGGTTGTTGGCACTTCTGCGGATCCTGGAGCTGCGGAAGCCAAAGATTTACGGAACTTTTTCGACAAATTTTTGCATGTCCCGTATCCAGATTACGCGTCCCGTGTGTTACTTTGGAAACATGCCTTACGCTCTACAATTGCTTCCCATGCTGCGACTTTGGGGCTCTCGTCGACGGCCACAGCTACGGCGCTTGCTTCTGCGTCTTCTTCGTCGTCTACAGTGCTGGCAACAGGCTCAGCAAGTGAATTGCAGGACCCTCGTCGTCAGGAACCTCTCGATATCTCAACACTGGCGCATATTTCAGAGGGCTATGCGTCTGGCAGTATCGTGCGTGCAGTGGAGACCACGTTGACTCCTCGACGTGTCGAGTGCTTGGAGAAGCGGCCGCTACGTGAAGAAGAATTTCTTGGCGCTTTGTCGCGACAAACTGCCACTTTTACAGACGATTTCGAGAAATTTAAGACATTTACTGCAGTCATTACGGGACTGAAAGAAACTCGCGATAAATTACGCAAAGCGGCACAGGATGCACTCAATCCTGACGACAAGAAGGATGCCAAGGGTAAAGGCGACAAGAAAGGCAAGAAAGGCAAGAAATAATGAATTATCTTACCTTGTTCATGAAATTCGCGTAATTTATTCTGTATTTTATTTAAATTGGAGGAAGTTTGAGTCGAGGAACGTCGTCCATCTTCATATTTGGTCGTTGTCGCTGCTGCTCCTCCGCCCAATACTGCGGAGGTTCCCATCGGGTCTCACCTGTTTGCTCGTTCTCAAAGTAGATTGCGTCCGTATACATATCCGAACGCTGTACCCATAGTCGAGCTTCCACACGTGCAAGTTGCTCTTCGAGTTCTCTATTCTGCTTCTCCAGTAATTTCTTCCGTTCAGCACGAGCCTTAACAGCGTTTGCATCCAAGCGACTTGCTCGAGCCACTTCGTGCCAGGCTTCAAACACAGCACGTGTACCCATGCCGTGCCATCTCTGAAGCACTGCTCGCATCTGAAGAAATTCTTTCGTGGCCTGTTTCGACACTTTCGTGCACTGCATTTCCACGTACGAATCTCGAATTTGAGTCTGGAACAGCTCCATAAGTTCCTCAACCGGAACGTCCAGCGGCATGATGAAATTTGGCTTTTTCGCTACAATTATGACGCTAGGTTTTGACTTCTTCTCGATCACGCCAAGTGCTCGTTTTTCAAGCTCCTGGTCCACAATTTTCATAGCAGCTTTACGATAATCTTGAATATTCATATCAGGCATTTCGATATCGAAAAACGGTTCCGCTGGTGCCTCTGTAGAGCTCTCCTTTGACGTCTCAGTCTCTGGAGCTTCCTCTTCGTCGGAGTCGTCCTCGGAGTCACCGTCTTCTCCGCTTCCTTCAGAGTCTTCGTCATTGTCTCCTTCATCTTCAATCTCCTCGGAATTGTCGGAATTATCTTCTTCCTCCTCGTCATCTTCGATATCGGCGTCCATTTCCAGAGCACGGGTCTTCTCCGTGGCCTTGTGAAGTGCTCGCTTCTCCACGTCCAGACTCGTGATGGCTCGTTCGATGTCATAAATCTTCGCATTCTCTGGTCCTGACTCTTCCAATTCTGCTTTTAACTTGGACATTTTCTCGTCTACTTTTCCTAATTTCTTCGTCTTCGCTGCCGCTAACGCACCGCCTTTGTCTTTCGCGATTGCTCTCTCCAGCTCGTGTTTTACAGTCTCCCGGTCCTTCTCTAAACGGGAATATTTATCTTTGGATGACTCCAATCGCACGTCTTTCGCACGCTGGAAAGCTTCAACTTTCCGACGAAGTTTGTCACGACGAGAATCGAGTTGACGCTGAGCCTTTTCGTGCTTTCTGTAGAGTTTTCGCAGGCGACGACGACGTTGTAGCATCTCGTGCGCCAAGACTCGCGCTGTACGCTCAAAGTGCACCACGCCCAAGGTGGAATTAATGTACTCGATCGCTCGACGTCGCGTTTTCAGTTCGAGACGAGCCACTTTGGCTCGTAAGTAGAGACTAGCGAGCTGGTCTTGAGCTTGATCCTTCGTAAGCATCTGAGCCCGTAGAAGTCGACCCATACGTTGACAACGGTACGGCTCTGCTCGAGGCAAACAGGCTTTACGGACTTGTTGATTACGTTCACGGAGAGCCACTGGGTCCAGACAAGCGCATTGCCGAAATTCGACCAGAACGCCTGGGATATCTCCCCCACCAGCTACACTGACGACGCCGAACTTGTCGTCGTAGTTCATGAGCGCGTCTTCGATCTCTTCCGGAGAAAAACGTTGCGAGAACGGCATGGGAGCTCCTTGAGATTGGAGAGTTTTTGTCGTGGCGAGCTCTTGTTGACGCTCAATTGCAGGGAGTAAATCGGAGTAGAAATTGTCCCATACGACTCCGTACAGCTTTAGTTCGCAGTTAGGAGGTGCGAGATGATCGCAATTGGACTCGAAAAACGACTGGAGAAGTTGGAGATCAGAGACAACGTCGGCATTGCTTTGGAGCTTGCTGTGGTCATTAGACTCGGAATCTTTCACGAGTTTGGATGCGAATGCGAGCACGTCCAGAAGAGCTTCGACAACTTCTCGTCTGCTGCTTCGTTGGAACTCGACAAGAGCTTTGTCCATGTAACTCAGAGTCTCGGGTACACCCCGTGCGATGACGTCGATGGTTGGTAAACGCAGCAGGTTTTGTTCCATACAAAGAAACTGTAAATTAGTGAGTGCACGGAAGGAAAAAGGAAGTTCTTGAATGGAATTCCAGTCCAGTCGCAGTTCTCGAAGCGCCTGCATGTCGCCGATACAACGAGGTAGTTTGATGAGCTGGTTACGCGATGCATGCAGCGACTGTAGATTCGGGAGAGCCACGATAGTGTCAGGTAGTTCGATCAACTCATTCATGTTGACTGACAAGGCTGTGAGCGCTGTGAGCGCTCCTATCGACTCGGGAAGTTCCGATAGTTTGTTACAATTAAAGTTAGCGCAACGAGCACTTCGACAGCCTCCGATGGACGCTGGAAGTTGCGTAAGTTTGTTGTTTTCCAGCCATATTTTCTCAAGTTTTTCGAGTTTCCCGAACTCTTCAGGTAGTTTCTCCAATACATTACAGGACAAGTTTAATATTTTCAGTGCTGTAAGTTTTGTGAGTGTATCTGGCAGTTCTCGAAGTCGGTTTTTGGTTAAATCCAGCTCCATCAGATACCTCAGCGTCCCGATACTCTCCGGAAGTTTTTCAAGGCCATCGTCGATAAACGACAGCGTCTCTAGTGAAGGAAGCGCTAGTGGAAGAGCTTCCGGTAGTTCTCCTAAGTCATGACCTGTAATTCTCAACGCCAATAGATCGCGGAAAGGCAGAACTCGTTCCCATGTGAAGAAACCGCGAGCTTGTTTCCAAGCGATGTTGAGTTCTCCCGAAGTCTTGGCTTGATGGGCAAAAGGAGCCCACAGTTTCTGGTTTTCCAGCTCGAAAGCTGCAAGTTGTAGCTCTTGTTCACGCTCCCGCTGCTTCTTACGCTCTTTCGTTTGCTCATCAAGCCACGCACGTCGTTCGTCTCGGTCGAGGATACCGCTAGGCATTGCCTGAAACGAAGACAAGAATAGTCAAACGAATTAAAAAAAACGTCGCATGTTTTTTTTTTCCTAATCGGTAGCATAAAAAACATCAACACTTGGGCCTATTTCTCCAAATGAACTGCGTGCTTCGTCTGGTTCACGAACATGCCGCACCCTACGGGGCTACGGGTGTGAACGCCTTACGTGGAGGGTTCAGTGGCGCCGTAATATGTTTCTTGGACTTGGGAACGGACTCCTTGGCTGTCAACATCTGGTCCATCTTCTCCTTGACACGTCGAGCGTAGTGTTCATCCACTTCTTTGAAGTTGTCCAGCGTACGGTCTTGGACCTTCTTGGAGGCGTTCACAAGCGACGTCGCGATGTTATCCGTTAGACGTTCGCGAGCTTCGTCGTCCAGTACTTTACGGTAGAAGATTTGGACTTGCGAGATGTTGTCATCGTAGGCAGACGAGTATTTGTCCACCACGGTATGTTCGCCATCGTACGTTGTGTAGCGCAGCGATTCCACTTCCTCGGGTCCTCCCATACTGTTCGGGAAGTAAGTTGGAGCATCGCCCATGTTCCCGTTTACTACCATGGGGCCATCACGTTGATACGTCTGCGGTTCATTCAGCGGACGGTTAACCGGAATCTGCTGGTAGTTCTTGCCAAGACGGTGACGTAGAGTGTCGGGATACGAGAACAAGCGGCCCTGTAGCATCTTGTCGGGAGAAGGAGTGATTCCAGGCACCATGTGCGACGGGGAGAAGGCCAATTGTTCGATCTCAGCGAAATAGTTGCGTGGATTCTTGTTGAGCACCAGACGTCCAACTTCCTTCAACGGGAAATCTCCGTGTGGCCAGACTTTGGTCACATCGAACGCGATGTGTTTGTGTTTCTTGGCTTGCTCCACTGTCATCGTCTGGATGTACAAGGTCCCACGACGGGAACTCGCCGCCTTCGATGGGCTTCGTACAGATCGCGGTTCGCATAGTCAGGGTCGGCGCCAGCCAGGAAAGCAGCTTCGTCCACGGGCATGTTACGGATCCCTTGATCCGACTTGAAATGGTACTTGACGTATGTAAGCTTGCCTTCCGAATTCACGTTCCCAAACGTGTTACTGCCGTAGCCATTCATGAATCGGTATCCGTCCGGGATGCCACGATCCGAGAACAACCACGTCTGCATGTGTAGCGACTCGGGACGTAGAGACCAAAAGTCCCACGCCATGTTGGCATCCTTCAAGTGCGACGCTGGTAGACGCTTCTGCGAGTGAATGAAGCTCGGGAACAGGATCGGATCACGGATAAAGAAGATCGGTGTGTTGTTGCACACGAGGTCCCAGTTGCCTTCTTCCGTGTAGAATTTGAGCGCGAAGCCCCGCGGGTCTCGCATCGTATCGGGGCTCCCGGATTCCGCCGTCACGATTGAGAATCGAGCTGCTACTGGCGTCCGCTTGCCGGCATTCGAAAACATTTTAGCACACGTGTAGTCGGTGATCTCGGGGTGCGTCACCTCGAAGTATCCGAATGCGCCGCCCCCTTTGGCGTGCACGACGCGCTCCGGGACGCGTTCACGGTCGAAATGCGAGAGGTGGTCGATAAACTCAAAGTCTTGGAGCAGCTGTGGTCCAGTGGACCCAGCAGTGGCGGAGGCCGTCAGTCCGTATCGCGGCATCGGGGCGCCATTGCTCGTTGTAAGAGTGGGTGGAGCCATGGTGACTTGGTCTTTGCGGTCGAATGTGAGAATGAGTACGGGAGCTCACGACAGCGAGTGCCGCCGTTGGGTCGGACAAGTCAGTCGTCGCTCTGCGAAAGGGAAAAGAATTGTGACACCGAACTGTGCTGGGACGAGTTTGCAGCTTGAACTACTTAGTGTCGGGCGTAGTACAATCGTAATCGTCTGATAGGTTTGAAAACAATTACAACACCGTGTTGCTTTCTTGGATACGCAATGGCTTACGAGTAGCCCACGATTTCACCATGACGGTCAGCGTTGAATGTGCGGGATGCTTGATGCATGATTATGTTTGCTTCCAAATCGGGAACGGCTGTACGGCTTCCTTATCGATTCCACATATAGGTGCTTACTGCACCTTGTTCATTTCGCACCGTATTCATTTCAGAGGATTCTAAACCAAGCCGAGGTCGGATTTATGGTCGCTCCATTATCCCCCAATGCCGTTGCCAACGACCCCGGAGCGCAGCATTCCAGTGAAGAACAGCCAAGCCACCGCGCTGGATGGTTCTCGAAACTTAAGCATCTCTGGTTTTCGGTTCAAATCAGTCATAGTGGCAAGTACTCCATCGAGAGACTGCTAGCACTGGAAGAATACACTCGAAACACCTCCCTCCTTCGGGTGCTCGTTGTGTGTATTGGAGCGCCACTACCCATGGCAACACTCGTACTTGTTCAAGAATGCATCCCTCTTCAAGACCCATCACAAGGTTGGAGCGCGAATTACGGCTTCTGGGTCCGAGTCGGCATCCTCGGCGGAGTTGTGGCCGTCGGCATGGCAGCTTTCGCGCTCTACATGATTCCTGGAGTTGTGCTGTCTAATCTGCAACTTGCGCTTCTTTTCATCGGCCAAGGAGTTTGCTATCCTGTCATTGGGATGTTCATTGCTGCGCTTTGGGTCTTTCCAATTCCCTTCATGATCCTCTCGGTCATGAGCCTGTACGTGCTGCTTTTTGTCGTGCTGTTCCATTTAATTGCTGGTAAGCAAGTCGTTAGTCAAATGGCAACGCATCAACACGAACTCATTTTGCTCGTCGGCTTCAGTGGCTCTCAGTCCGTCATGGCGATCACCTACGCCGCATACGAAGCGCTGTTTGATCAAGTCACCAACACCCACTACGAGCTGCCTGTGATCCTCCTGCTCCCAGTGATCAAACTCCTCATGAAGAACTTGGTTTCTTTACCTATTGCACACATGAAGGACATGGTACCAGAGGGCGTCATCTTCACCGTCGACTTCTTCAACTCCATGTACCTCGCCACTTGCATGCAGAACACGTCTTCGATCAAGACTGTAGCGACGATGATGGTCCTCGACTTTGGACAAAACGCAATCTCGTTACGAAGACTGCATCGGCAGTCTGACACGATATTATCTCGACTTCGCGACGCCTGTGGCATTTCTCTTGACAACGATAGCCTGCTCCCGGTAGTCCGCCTCTTGTGTCGTGATCCAGATAACTTCGAGCAGCAGTGTCGTAGAGATATTATGCTCTTCTCCTGCCTTCCCCATAAGTTGTCACCACAGGGGCGAGATCTGCTCGAGAAGTTGAAAACGCTGCCAGGAAATGGTGTGCGCACGCTCCCACAGCTTCGCGCATCTAGGCACAGTTCCATTTGTTCTAATGTGGCGAAAGTCCGACCTTCAAACACCATTCGTAGCTGCCTTCGTACCACCGAGAAAGTGCAACCAAGTGCCCTCTCCACGACGGTAGTAAAACCAGTCCAAATTGCGCAAGAACCAGCCGATATGACGATGAGCAGTACCGATTCTGACAGTTCACACCGCAATATTCTTGGCCAGACGCTCGAGGTGTTGTTCTTCTCCGAGTGTCTTTTGTTGACGGAGTATCTGGAGTCAATCATTCCAGTTTTATACGGGCTTTTCATCTTCCTGGTTGTCAATCTCCCCAGTGCACCATACCACGTGGACTTAATCGGTATCGATCGCGATAATGTCGGAGATACACTGGCCAACGTTTACATCTACGCGCTTCTCGAGTTCCTCTCGTTTGTGATGCTCACGCTGTTGATGATGCGGAACTGTCGGCTGCAAGCGATGTATCACTTGGCGTTTGTACTGGAAACTCAAATGCTGTTGGTGCAGGTGAAGTTGATGACTTGGGTCCTGATGAGCTTGAGCTTTCGCGTCGTCCACTTCGGTAAGATATCTTCAGTCTTGTATTCTTCTCTTGACATTTCTGAGCTGTACACGCTTGTGCATGTCGTAGGCGCCGACTTCACCTTTCAATTCTCCTGGATGAATTAGGATAACGCCCAATAGAGCCTACAGACTTTTGCCATCGTCCCATATTGATCGATTGATCGCTTCAGTTTCATCCAAGGAAAAGTCTTGTCACTCAAACGACGCATCCAAAGCAGAAGAGGAAGCACAAGCCACAAGCAACACGTACGATGGACGAGCTTCAAAGTGTCGGGGTCGGCGTTGCTCTTGGACTCATTGTCGTCTCCGTCCTGACGTTCTATCCAGGCAACCCGTTCGACTACACCACCGACCGAGAGATCACTGACAATAGTGACGAAACCTCGACGATCTCAGATGATCCAACAAATATCAACGCGTCGACGACGGAGAAGAGCGGAAGACGACAGCAACTTGAAGACATTGAACAGGCTGCTCAGCGTGTGAAGATCCAGAAATTGCAGGAGTTACTCGGTCTGGAGAAGGAAAAGACTCTGCTGCTTGTAGAACGCGCCAAAGCACAAGCGATCAGTGCTGCAAAGACACCTGGACGAAGGACTTTTAACAGCTACTCCACCAGCTGCAAGAGTGCTTGGCTTGATCGCAGTTTCTTCATCATCATGCTCGGACTTCTGGTCTGGGTGTTGTGGCAAGACTACAGCATCAATTTCTTCTCCATCGCTGCGTACCTGCTCCCACGTGAAGCCCAAATGGTCCGCCAGGTCGCAGCAGCTCCTCAACATCTCGTATCCCAGTTTTTGGAGCTGTGGTAATGGGGACACACATCCACATTATAACCACAAGCGTCCCTATTCAGATAAAATAAAAGTAAGCACGAGACATATGCACTAGTATCTGTATTCGTCGTGCATGGCCGGTCCACGCACTCACGTCACTGTCTCGCTCACGCGTTCTACAGCAGCCGCTTCTCCGCAGCGCGTGCGTGGCCCTCAAGACCCTCCATACGAGCCAGTAATGCCGAGTCCTGCACGAGAGCCTGCGATTCTTGTGCGTCGTCAATGCGCATCCACGTTCGGATACGGAGGAACGTGTGCACCGACAGTCCGCCGGTGTACTTGGCAGTGCCGCCAGTCGGGAGCACGTGGTTCGGGCCAGCACCATAGTCTCCAAAGACCTCAGCAGCACGGCCACCAATGAACAGACCGCCATAGTTGGCGACCTGGTCCGCAACTTCACGCGCGTTGCTTGTAATAACTTCCAAGTGCTCAGGCGCCAGCAAGTCCGACACGCTAACACATGTAGCCATGTCGGGGCACAGCACTGCAAAGCCGTTCTTCACACTGACGCTGGCCGTAGGAGCTGACGGCAGCGTCTCCAGCTGCTTGGTGAGCTGTTCATTCACTGCATCAATAATCTTCTGGCTGGTCGTCACCAGGATGGGTACAGCCGCCGTGTCGTGCTCGGCCTGGGCCAGTAGATCAGCCGCGATAGTCGCAGCGTCTGCAGTCTCGTCCGCAATGACGAGACACTCGGAGGGTCCGGCCAGCATATCGATGGCGCATTTGCCGAACACGAGCGACTTGGCCGCCGTGACCCACTTGTTACCGGGTCCTACAATGATGTCACAAGGCGGGATTCCTCCCACTCCGTAGGCCATCGCAGCAATGGCCTGGGCGCCTCCAGCGGCCAAGAAATAGTCCGCTCCAGACAAATAGGCAGCAGCCAACGTGGCAGGCGCCGGGCGGGGCGATGCCACCACCACCGTCTTGACACCAGCCACTCGGGCCGTCACAGCAGTCATTAGCACGGACGACGGCAGCGGGTAGCGACCACCGGGGGCGTAGCATCCAGCAGCGTTCATGGGCGACACCTACATACATTAACACCCACATTTCAGTCATTAAACCCACGAGGTCGTTATAAAACCCACTTACGTCTTGGCCCGCCGAGCCGCCCTCGATGGTCTGCTGAAAGTTGGAGATCGAGTCACGCTGAGCCTGCGCAAAGACCTTGATACGCTGCGCCGTGCGCTGCAGAACGCTCTGCTCGTTCTTCGGAAGTGCCTCAAACGCCTTGGCCAGTTCTGCTTTGCTCACGAGCAGAGGTGTGTCCTCGGACGGGATGTCGCCGAGTCTCGCTGCGTGCTGCTTGAGCGCGTTTTCCCCCTTCACGCGCACGTCGTTGACGATGACCGTCGCATCCTGCAGTGCTGAAGCATCAACGGGGTCGTACGCGAAGTTGGCCACGTCGGCCGGCGCGATCTGCTTGAGCGGGGAAGCCATCGGATGCGGAATTCGGAATGTGCTGGTGGTGGCGAGTCAAAGAGTGATGGTCAACTTGAGGTTGTGCAAAAGCTGACGTACGAAAAATCGTGTGTCGCACATGGATTCGAAAAACTAGCCAATTGAAATACAATTCGTGGAATGTTTTGACCAATCATCTGTAGTATTTCAATTGGTGCCTCATTTTTTGTGCTATTCCATGGCGCTGCTGTAGCCGATGTAGCCAGCCATTAGAGAACTTCATTTGACCGTTGTCAACGTACGCATTGATGCGAATAGCGAGAGCTCTAATTTCTTTACCCGTGATGGCCTTCACTTCGCCGTCCATGTCCTTGAACTTGTCCATGATGCACTTGTCGGCCTCACAGACACCGGGACAGACAATTCTTTTGCGGGAGAGCTGGCTTGGTTGCGCAGATACCCACTTTGCCTCCCCAGTCACCACATTGCGGGCTGGTCGTGAGAGAGAGACTTGTCCAGCTTGAACGTTCGAGTTGCCCACGTTGCGAGCTGCGAGTTGCTCAGTTTGCCGTCGGCGCGGATCTTCTTGGCGTGCTTACATATCGCGATCTTTTGCTCGATGCTAAGACGGTTTCGGAGCGAAGTAGTGCCGGACAGATGTGCGTTGCCATTCCCGACTCCTAATTCACCTAAAAACAGTGCATCGTTATGATTGGTTAATAAGCGTAGCTACCGGTAGGAGTTATCATTTTAAATTTAGAAAATAACGAAAGAGTTTAGAAACTCCTAAGCTACTGTTTTGTATTGCCCATAGTGTGTGCAAGATACGTGTAGATAAAGTTTGGTACACAGATACATACAGTAGATACACACTTTTCAACTGTAGGCATACAACATGCAACAACCTCTGACATATTATCAAAGATCATCATCTTCGCTATCGGCATACTGAACATCTAACTGATCTGGAATGGAATCCAGGTCGTTAGTATCGTCGAACAAGTCGATATCATCCAGTTCTTCACCAAAGTAGTCGTACGTGTCCACTGAGTCGAGTAGGCTGCTGTTGATGTAGTTGAACGCCAGCTTTTCCATTGTGACAGCATTCATTCGGTTCCGTCGCTTCGACCACAGAAAGGAGTACACACTCCACACTCGTTCTGCAGCAGCCGAGGACGTTGGTACACTCAAAACTTTGATGGCAATTGGCGCCAGCAATGGAAACATCATGCGTCCGCAATGGACCCAGTACTCCAGTCCTGGCAACTTCGTGTACTTTTCGTAAAGGTCGCTCGGGGAGTTGAGCTCGAGAAGAATGTATGCGGATAGCTCATCGTTGCAGGTTTTCTCCAGATTTGGATCCGTGTAAAACAATGGTATGTAGTCGCGCAACTGCTCTGTCGTGTCCATCTTGTCTGTTGCGTCCCACGTCATGGTCTGGGATTTGGGTGTGAGAAGATATGCACACCCCATCGAAAAGGTATGCACGAAGCACCAGCGTTTAAGGACGATGTCCTTCAAACGATTTCCGATATCATCGCCATGCCAGAGCGACTCCTTTGTAACCCATGTATCTTTGAGACGGATGAAGCAGTAGTACACTTGAAAGAGATCTCCTCCATCCTTTTCGAGCTTTCCAATCTGCTTCGACGGAAAACTGAGTAGCCTTTTTAACTGCAACAGTTTGCGCCAGAATGCGCCCGAGTTGGCAATCCGTCGGAGTGTGTTCACGGCATCCTTGTTCTGTATTTCTTTGAGAATGTGATCACAGCCTGGCTCTGCAAGATTGCGAACAGCCAGCTTCGCCTTGTACAGGTTTTCACAAGCATTGAAGTGGGTATACCACCTCGTCGGGCAAGGTAAAGTGAGACCTTTTTGAATAGTCAAGACGTCACGGAGTCTCTTGAACTCAGCGACGACCAACTTGTGGTCGTTGACAAACTTGACCAGGACGTTCAAGTCGGCAAGGACAGCGGCGAACTCAGGGATTTTACACACGTCTTTAATCAATAGATTTAAGACATGAGCCCCGCATCCATTGGCAAAGATCGTTGGGTATTTCTTCTCAATAATTGCCCACGCTCCGCGCATGTTGGGGGCGTTGTCAGTGACCACCGAGAGACAGCGATCTGGACCAAATTCCTCTATCACTTCCAAAATACCGGCAGCTTTTTTCTTCGAGGTTTGCACAACTCCACCTGTGCTTACTGATTTCAGGAAAAATGGCTTGAAGCCTGGAACAATGACGACGTAATTAACGATATGCTCGTTTGAGTCGTTTGACCACCCATCGCTGACAATTGAGAACCACTTTGCTGACCGAATGGCTTCTCTTACACGCGACAACAGTTTGTTGTAGGTCGAATTGAGATGTTTTCCAGCAATCGAACGCGCCGATGGCATGATTTCAACGTAGGATGGCCGTAGAAGTCGAATGACTTTCTTCATGGCTTCTGAATCTATGACTCGAAATGATATCCCAGTACGGAATACCAGATCTGCAATTGCAGCGTCGATATGAGCGGCATCAGCTTTTGAGATGGCGTCCAGAAAATTAGCCGTCGTCTGGAGAAAGAGGCGTTTCTTATGCGGACTCGCAGGACAAACGTGAGTTGTAGCACGCTTGGTGCCAACCGACACAACAACTCTGCCGGCACGAAGATGTTTCAGGTCCATGAACAGGCCTTTTTCATTTTCACTTATCCCTTCACAGTTGTTTGAGACCTTGTGTGAAATGACGCGCTCTCGCACCCACGGAACATCGCGTCGACAAACGCGACACTTGCCTTTCTTGACGCCTGATTTTGACAAGTATGAGTTGATGTCGAACTGCAGAGGGTCGGGTGTTCTTCTGGCGGATAACATCGAGTCGATCGCGTTAATGAAACTGGACGGCGGAGATACCATTGATGAACACGCTGTCGTAAGATGGCGCTGGAAGAAGGGTAGACTTGTACTGTAGGGTGTTGGGCAGAGCAGATCGAAGAATGGCGCTTCGGAGAGTAAACACCATGGTATAGACATCTTGGTGAAGCTCGCTATAAGTGAACAAAGTCGTCTTTAAATGTGCTATCCCGCAATACTCAAGCGCGCTTTAGATAATCTACTTATAGATGAAGCATGTCGACACCTTCAACATCTTATCCATAGCTGAAATCCTTCCTGGTTGAAGGAGCTTTGTGTGCAAGATACACGTTTCCGAATTTTAGTACACACATACTTTACGTATTCCTACGCGTACTCTAATCTACATGTATCTGTAGATGCGCACACTAATTGCCCATAAATCAACTGGAGAATAATTCAGTATTTTACTGTCATTTTCGCATTATTAATACAAGATCTCAAATGGCGCACCACTGCCGTTCTGGTACGCCTTCAACGAGAGGTTGCACAGACAAGAAAAGCGTGCTCAAAGCTGCCATGTCCGTTTGTCGACCCACACATCCATTCAAATAGCGCGTACTCACTAAGTTTTTGTACGCGCCGTAACCTGCGTTGGCAGTAGTCCGATAACTTACTTTGACTCATCGATGAAGATTCCCAAGCTTTCTGAGTCAGTTCTCACATGTTGAGTTTGATCGGATTGCAAGGCATTACTGTGTACATGTATTGCCAACTCAATCAGTGAGGAAATCGATCAAGCAGCCAAGATCGGATTGTGCTTCGATTTCTAAGTGCTGCGTTAAGAAATTGCATTACTGTCGAACTGGGCTATCCTGAAAGTACAAAATAAGATTTCGTGTTGCCGACTTACATTTGTCATTTGCGCCTTGCGTCCTCGCAGACTATAGTCGAAGAGCTTTTGTGGTCATTTTGAATCGAAATTGACCGCCCTTTAGTAAAATTGCACTTGCTGAATCTACCAAATTTGAAATGATAACTGATCCCATTTGCACTTTCAAAGAGGACAGAGGGAGGGCTTCAATAGCCTGCATGTTAAATCGCAGAGCTCTTGGGTTGCAACTTAGCCCTCCGGCCTGGGGACTCCACGCCGAAAACGAAAAATGCGGCGAAATACAGTTGTCCCTTTTGCACTAGAGACCAACCATGTGAAAAGCTCGGAATCGAAACGTGGTTCCACGATGAAGTATGGTTCGTGGATAATGAAGCTAAAGTGCGCGTGGCTTACGATTCAAATAAATCACCGCGGGAAATACTCAATCGAGCGCCTTGTTGCACTTGTAGAATATACGCGGACGACATTTTTTTCTTCGAGCAGTACTCGTATGTGCAGGAACACCTTTGCCGATTATAATCATAGTCATTTTCTTGGAAGCTTTGCCTCTTAAAGACCCATATAATGGATGGCGCGCTAACTGGGGACTTTGGATTCGAGCTTATGTCTTAAGCGGGACGACGGCACTTGCTGTCGCTGTTCAATTGCGATAAATGCTGCAAAGTATAAACGCTTCTTCACTCCAATTGATAATGATATTCGTTTGTGTGACGGTGGGATTCACAACCGTATCGATCATGGTGGCGTCGGTGTGCGTGTTTCCAATCCCTCACATGGTAATCAATAATGATACCAGCGTTTTTGATGCTGTTTGGGTGCACGGTTCGCGTCCTACTACCGGTAGGTGCTTCAACTCTCCGGGATATTCTAGCAAATCGTCGACAATTTGTGGTTGCCGTGAACACCCAAGCAGTAATGGCGGTGGCATATCCGGCGTATCAGCTGCTCTTCAACTCCGTAGCAAGATCAGCCTACGAGCTCCCAGTATTTCTGCTACTCCTTGCCTTAAAAATCGCTCTCAAGAACCTCGTATCACTCGACTTAGCCGAATTGGCGGACTTGATCCCGGAAAACATCATTTTTACAAATCATTTCTTCAATGCCATCTACTTAGCCACATGTATGCAGAGCGCTTCGTCAACCTTTGCGGTTTCCGCGATTATTATCATTGACTTGCTGGAAACTGGAATAGCGTTGTACGGGATCTACCGCTCATCTACGCGGATCATGAAGCAACTTCGCCACACTATCGGACCATCTATGAGCGAAGACAAATTGCTGTTCGCTGCATACTTGCTGTGTCACTGCTACGGCAAATTCACGAAAGAAGAACGCGCACAAGTGCAAGTACGCTCGTGATTTCCTCATTAGTTATCGACCGAGAGACAAAATTTTCTGAACAAGCTTGACGATGACAACCTCAACGTTGGTCCAAGTTTCCCTCCTTCGACCAACACCCAGTCAATGCCGACAATAACAAACGTGCTTCCATTCGACTGTGGACAGCCTACTGATAGTCGCTGGAGCACAATGATTCAACCTGTTGGCCCTACGAGAAGAGCGGCCGTGCAAGTAACACGAAGCAAACAAAGTCGTAACGTTAACGCTATCACCGCAGTGCCGTCTGTACAGCACATCGCTTCTCTTCGCAAGACTCTCGCTACTCTATTTACTATCGAGTGCATGATTCTGGCCGAGTACGTTGAGTTCGTCATCCCATTGTTGTACGGCAACTATATCCTCATGATGGTTCACCTCCCAAGCGCGCGATACCACACAGAACTCACTGGCGTCAATGAGGAGAATGTCGTGTCTACCGTGCATATGGTCTTCCTGTACGGACTACTGGAGTTCGGTTCGTTCATTCTACTCATGCTACTGTTGAAGAGAGGATGTGGACTGCAAGCACTATATCATCTTGCGTTCGTTCTTGAAACTCAAATGTTACCAATCCAGAGCAAAATTGTCGGCTGGATGCTGATCACACTAGGTTTCCGGGTTGTTCACTTTGGTAGGTGCCTACAAATTATCTGTTGGTTCCGCCTTCAATTACTAACACATTTTACTAATATTAATAGGCGTCGATATCACCTTTCAGTTTTCGTGGATGCATGACAAGAGCCACATCTAATGATACACCGAGAGAAAAAAGGAAACCAAAGTCAACTTTTGCACACTATGACTTCGTATGGTCCAGTTAACCCTTCTACACCGGCATTACGAATAATCCGGAATACAATTTATGGAGGTGTTATTATTCCGGGATCTCTGCTTCGCAAAATCTGTCATGTAATTTCCGCATATAGGTATTTGTAAACGATTTTTTGAGGGAAAGGGTTTAGGTTACTGTATAAGAATCCACGAGGCCGGGAGCCGTCCATTTCAAATCAGCGGTTACCCAGACAGACCAACACTCTCAAGATGGAGAAGCCGTTCAAGCAAATTTGGAGAGAGCTGACCAAAAAAGGCTGGAAATCCAGACGGCCGAAGGGATTGAGCGTCGACTACACCTACGTACCACCCGAGGGAGATGCAAAGGGCGTTAAAGGTGTCGACTACTTCGTTGGTACGCTACCGACTTGTATTGCTGCGTTGAAAGTGCCTAACTGTTGCTGTGTATACAAAGGTGAAGTGAGTCTACTACGCTACTGCCGAAGCCAAGGATGGCTGGAGCTACCTCCTCTACCAGCTTCAGTGCTTCTTCTCCAGACAGCAGCTTCTCTGGAAAGTTAACTACTGACTACTGTCCCCACCACAGGAGCCGGATTGGTGACTAATCATGAAGCGACTATTGCTACTTCTACGGTACCCCCCCCAGGCCCAGACAAACCAACTGCTGCCGAGAATGATATCGCTAATTCCGGGAAGACCTCAAATGGCAAGCGGAAGGCTAGCTCGACAGGAAGCAATGCATCGAGCAAGCGGCGCCGGACAGGTATGTAATCGCTGTCCTGGTCTGTCTGTTTGTTGCTAACGTATTGACGTATTACGGATTATACAGGCAGCACTGTTCCGGAGAGTAATGCTCCTGTTCCGGATAACACCGTACACACTATTCCGGATATGACTGGAGCTCTTCAGGATAATGCCTCACGTGCTGTTTCGGATGGATCCGTTGATACTGCTCAATGCTCAAACGATCACTGTGAACGCCCAACTCCTGCCATTACCCTCGATGACTTTGACTCGGATGATTTCTTGGCCCCTCTATCGTCGAGACCGTCTCTTTGACAAAACCGATGATGAAGAACTCTACTTTGAGGAAGGAGACTGTTTGCTATCTCTCGACTCTGATACCGAAGGAGATGAAGATAGCATTTTGTTGGACAAGGACATGTGTGATGTCGATGACGAAGCGTCAACCGGATCTTACGAGGACGATGAACTGGACGATGATGTGAACTTTGGTTTGGGTAAGGAAGTCTTGGATGATCTGCAACGTGCTGGATGGGACACGTACGATGAACACACAAATGGTCAGCTACGTCTCGATGCTTCGCCGATGTATGAAGGACCCTTTGGACCTACCAAAGCTGCGCTAGCGTATGCAGATAGCCCCCTGGCAATGTTTTTCTTCTTTCTTCCGAAAGAATTGTAGAGGAAGATTGCAGAGGAGACGAACAAGTTTCGGGATGAGTGTGTCGAAGAGGTAGCGCTGTCGATGCGTGAACGTGCACGTCTGCGCCGTGAGAAGGCTCCGTTCACTGTAGTGCTGTCAGTGGAGGAGTATAGAACCAAGCTACAACGCAAAACCGCCATCCAATCCCATGAGCTCATTCGGTTCATAGGCTTGTTGATCGCCCTTTCACTGGAGCCACGTCGGGAGAGCCTAAGCCGCCATTGGATAACGAAAGTGGAAGGTGCTCTATGTAGAGGGACGTTTGGTCAATTTCTCAGTCGTGATCGTTTTGAAGAGATCACACGGTACATACACTTCAACGACAGCTCGCAACAAGCTACCAGCAACGATCGGGCATTCGAGATCCGGCCTGTGATCCAAGCGCTCCAGAAGACGTTTTTCCGCGGGTATCGTTTAGGAGCCAAGATCGCGTTCGATGAGGGCATGATCCCCATGAGGCACAGACGAAACCCCATGCGCCAATACATGTCTGCTAAACCGAACAAATGGGGGACGAAGTTTTACTTGACGTGTTGCGCTGAGACTGCGTACTGTTCAAGGTAAGTTGCTTCATCTTCCGTTTCGTAATATGCTCAGGATGTTATTGAACATATTACGGATTCGAACTAATAACGGATAATACTGACTATGTTATGGATGGTGCGTTGTAGGTTGGATATCTATTGTGGGAAGGCCAACAAAAACGAGAAGAATGTCGCTCAAAAAGCATTTATCAAGAATCTGACCAAGGCGTTGCGAGGTCAGCCAGCTCGGCGCTTGATTTGCACGGATAACTTCTACACATCTGTCCCGCTTTCGGACAAATTGCTCTCTATGGGATTCTACCATGTGGGCACTATGCGTCGAGACCGGCTGGGGTGGTGCAAGCAGATTGAGTTCACGGAGAAGACAAGACCAAAGAGTATGCAGAGAGGAACCTACCGTATTGCTCAGTGGCGAAACCGGCCTGAAATCGTGGCGTGTGTGTGGATGGACAACCAACCTGTACGATTTCTAGCTACTGGATGCTCGACGCAACCTGATAAAGTTTCTCGGCGGGAACCGGATGGCTCTATCACCATGGTACCATGCCCGCGCTTAGTCGTGGACTACCACGAAACGATGGGTGGAGTGGACGTCCACGACCAGTTGCGCTTGCAACGTTACTCAATCCAGCGGTCGGTTCGAATGCGGAAATATTACAAGACTTTACTTTTAGGCCTTGTTGACCTTGCTTTGGTGAACGCGTTCGTCGTGCACAAAATCGCCAAGCAGCGCCAAGGGAAATCCGTACCAACACACGCTGAGTTCATGCGGCGGCTACACGTTGACCTTCTGTCGCAAACCCGTGAAGATTTTCTTCCAGAAAACAACGGCGAAGAGCTGTTAGCTGCTCCGGTGCCAGGGCAGCCACACGCCCTGCAGCAGACGAGAGAGAAGAACGGGCAAAAGAGTAGGCAGTGGCTGTGTAAGGTGTGCTCCGCTTTGGCAGGACCGGGAGTACGGAGCTATGAGAGCAGCTACTTCTGCCGGACCTGTTCGCTTTCCAAGAAGGGCCGTGTAGCCCTGTGCAACAAGGCGCGACGGCTGGAGCAGGGCAGTGAGCTTACGTGTAGCCAGGTGTGGCACCAAACGTGGCGCAACGGTACTGCCGTCCCTCCCGAGCTGCAGCACAAGATTCGCTTCGTAGCGAAGCGCCGCGTGGACGACGACAACACCGACGAGGATTTTTTGTAGGATATAAGTGAAGTGTGTTGGCTCCATGAATGATTGTCGTTTTGGCGCGAAATTCGTTTGCCCATCCGGTAACTATCTGAACATTTTTGCAGGGTTATATTAATTCAAAAAAATTTGTGCGCTCTTTGTTCACATGCCGTTTTTGTAACAGCGTTCTCAGCCAATCGTAAGCTCTCACTTGATGACGTGTCCCTTTCAAAAAGATATTTAGTACTGATTTTTCCGTATACGTTAATTCATATGCTAATTAATACGGATAATTCGGAACAATTTTCGGGGTAGAGGGGTTAAACAAGGCATTATGCCCCATTCACCCTCTCCGAGATACCACCCACCATCTCAGACAAGAAAGCTCCGCCACTTCATCCCACGTGTGGTAGCGGCTTTATTAGACCCTATCACAATCTGCATTCATGCTATGACGTTTTACCGGTAGTTAACGGTCGTTTACGTCTCTTGACAAGTCTTATAAAAGCACGTTTACCCTGCGTTTTATTTTACAAAGTTACCATCGCCGTGGCCTATTCTTCATAATGCATCGCCCAAGGCGTAGTCTTCGATTATGCAGCTACTTCCAAGGCCGTTCGTCACCGATTAATATCCATGCATCACCCTACCAAATCCGAATCAACCGCAAGGATGATAGTACCTCTTGTACCTCTGGTAGTGCCTCTCCGTGTCTTACAACACCCAGCCAAGCTACCGTTGTACCCGTCCATGGCAAGCAGCTCACAATCAAGACAACCGCCAAGAAGGAGGTACCTTTCCGTGTTAAGTGTATGCTGTTAGTCTCGATTGCTACTGTGGCCGCGGTGGCTGCATGCTTGATCGTCGCTCTGACCTGGAAATCTGTCGGTGTCAAACGAAATGGCCGACCGGTAGTGTTGCTGCTTGGCGACTCACATACGCAGAAGGGCACCGATCCAGCGAAGCGGGGATGGGTATCGCTACTGCAGGACCAGTACGTGATGACCTCGGACGTCGTAACCCGAGGACTTCCAGGGTACAATACAAAGTGGTTTTACAAGTTCATCGCACAAACGATTGAGCAAGAAGTCCGGGAGGGCATCTACAGTACCCCGGCTCTGATCACAGTTTGGTTCGGCAGCAACGACGCCGCTCTGGCCAACGGAACTGCTTCTAGAACCCACGTTCCGATCGAAGACTTTAAGAAGAATTTGAAAAAGATCGTCAAAAAGTTCCAATCAGCAGCCCCAGAGGCGGAAATTTTGGTGATCACCCCACCGCACGTCAACGACGCTGTGAGAGCCGGGTTCTCCTCATGGAAAAGCGGAACGATTGACCGCACAAACGATATGGCGACGGAATATGCTCGTGCCTGTGTGGAGGTGACCGAGGAAATCAATGTTCAGGTATTGGACTTGAACGCGTTCTTCAACGCGATGCCGGAGACGACCCGAAACGGACTACTCGACGCTGATGGACTTCATTTGAATACAATGGGCAATATTTTAGTGTATGGCTCAAGATTGCCAACCAGTTCCCTACTCTAGAGGGCAAGCTTGCGGTTCCGCAGTTCCCAGGTGCCCGTCACTATGCTGAAGTCGACCCCTGGACAGACCGCGGTACCTAAGGACGTTGAGCTCAGCAACGGCTGCTGGGGATTGGCAATGATGTTGTTGCATGCAAGATGTATTAATAACGCCTTCAACGAGAACGATAGGTTAGAAAAGCGAGGTCTGTCAGGAAATTGAAGCTGATTGGTATGTATCCTTAGAAAAAGGCGGCGATTTCATTTAAGAAACAAGCCTTAAAGCCTTCACGCCCTCGCACTACAGACAACGAAATCTGTTACCGCGCATGTCTCCTCTGTCGTTACTTCCATGCCTAAATGCTCCAACTACTGCATGCGTTTCCGAATCCAGTTTGCTCCTGCTATTTCGCGAAGACGCTTGACTACGTTGGAAGCTTGGTACACGTGACGGCTTCCGTGCGCACGCAATTGAGAGACTGTAGATTTAAGCTCTCCCAATAAAGTAGATTTTCTTCTCTAAACGTATAACTTGTCATTTCAGTTTGTATCTCAAAACAGCCGTTTTACTTTAATCAAGAAGAATGTAATATATTACTGAATATCCTCTGTACCAGTGATGTCACCTAGGTGAATGTTGTTTGTGGCGGCCTAACTAGCCGAAGTAATTTAATCCGCGTGAATGTTGTACTGTACGAGCACACTTCAGCTCCATACCGCAATGTACATGTGACTCGCACGCGTATTTACTTCGGTGTACAGAACTGCAGTAGTAGCTTACAGTAATGCGTCAATAAGAAACCCATGGGAGCTAATATCCTTGTAAACATAATATAGAATATATTGACAAGTACAGGCTTCTATATATACTGTAATAAGGAGCTCATGGGGGGCTATTAGAGAACTTTAGTTTCTGGAATAACGCAAGGTTTGGGAAAGCGATTATCCGGATAAAATCTGAATAAATGACGGATAGATTACCGATCGATATTCCAGTACAGTGCTACACCCCGTTTTCGCGCCTTTGGACCTTCGATAAACTTCTGGATGTGATGATCCTGAATCCAAATGAACCTAACTTTGTAAGCTAAAATCTGATTTATTTGCAAATCCTATATTGTCCACCCCCGCGAAAACGGGGTGCAGTACTGTACTTTATTCCATTGGAAAAACGCTAATATTTATTTCTGGACAAGGAAAATTCTTATTCTAAAGCCTGAGTTATGCCAGAAACTAAAGCTCTCTATTAGGGAGCTAACAACGTAATTTCGCCTAAATCTGCCTAATTTTAGCAGCATCAATTTGGAAACCAGGTATTTGAGGCTTATCTGACATCGTATCAGTCTGCTGGTGCAACTTTATTTGTTGCTGCGACACAATTACAAGTGGTACATGTAGGTTGTGTCCTAATCCAGTGCCGAGATAAACATTGCTTCCACGAGAGGATGTGCAGGTAAACATGGATTACGAAGCACTGTACTGTGCCGCACAGTTGCATGGCCTCGCCATACAGTAGTACCGAGCAACAATCCAACAACACCACCTTTGATATTCCGTGAGCCTCATTTTCCAACCTCCCGTGCTCTTCAATAGCAACCCGATCCCAGCTTCTCAACTCCACCAACCATGCTACATTTGTTTTGTGCTGCTGTGACCCTATCGATCGGCGCTGCCATTGTGCTCGCTGCTCCCGTCCCCGGCGGCACTTGGCCAACTAGCCAAGGCCGTGTCAGCTTTGCTGCAGTCTACGTTGTCGAATCGGGCCAAGTTTTCGACGGCGGCATGAAGACGTACGACCGTTCTGACATCACCTGCCTCGAACAGACCGAAAGCAACGTGTCTACTGCTGTCTTCGAGGTCAAGCCCGGAGCCACGCTCAAGAATGCCATCATTGGAAAGAACCAAATGGAGGGTGTCCACTGCGAAATGTCAGACTGCACGATCGAGAATGTGTGGTGGGAAGATGTGTGCGAAGATGCCCTGAGTATCAAAGGTGGGAACGCCTCCAGTGTCTCGAGAGTCATCGGTGGCGGTGCTCGCTATGCGGATGACAAGGTGATCCAGCACAACGGAGTTGTCGTCGATGGCTTCTTCGCTCAGGACTTCGGCAAGCTTTACCGCTCGTGCGGAAACTGCAAGAGCAATCCTGCCCAGCGTTTCCTCGTCATGAGCAACATCTATGCTGATCTCAATGTTATTCAGACTAAACGTTCTGGTAAGAACACGAGCATTGTCATGATGAACGGGAATTTTGGAGACCATGCTGTGCTTCCCGGTGTGCGTGTACTCCTATGAGGACGTTCATACCATCCAAACGCATGAGCAACAGCAGAAGCTGTGTGCGTATTAAACGGGACTTTTGCAGTTGGCGATCCATCGCTAAGATGACACAAAGAGGGCCATGAAAAACGTGATAGATCTTTATTTGGAACGTACAGTCTACTGCACGATGTCCTCCACTGCAAAAAACATACAAAACATTCACACAATCAGTGATTAATACAATTTAAGGAGGTCTTGGCTTAGAAAAAGAATAACTGTGATTGTGAGCTGTGGTTCCTGAAATTACACAATTTTACGTGTATCAAATGCGAGAGAAAAAATACACAAATCACAGTTTTTTTGTGACGCACAAACTTGGCACTCGATTTCCAGTGTGTGATCTGTATTTTTTTTAAATATCAGTAAGCTAAGGGTATTAAATATGACTGCGTTTCATCCATTGTTTTCTCCTTAACGATCTTAAATGACGGTTTGATATAATACCCTGGAGGGTTTTACAAATCTGATGTACGGAGTGATTTGTCTCAAACTAACAGCCGTATGAGGACTTGCTCGTACAATTTTTCTCTGTAGGGGCTACAATGTCGTGCAAAATCACCGCATGACATGGAAGAATACGCGTAGTAAATAAAAAATGTGAGTTCGGGAGCCACCCATAGGTATTGATTGTTGAGTTGTGTGTTTCTGGTAGCCTAACCGCGAAAAACATATGATGACCGCCCACCTGGCAGGCTGGCTAAATTCCACAGTTGTCAAAGACTTTAATGCCTTGGTTCCTGCCGCGGGGTCTGGGGTCGCGAAAAATAAGCATCCCCTACCCCCGAGCGCTAGTGTCGTGGATCGTTTTTCGGGCAATCACTGCTGACTAGCATACCCTCGTCAAATTGCTACCGATAGTGGCTCTGTAGTTCACAGCACTGGTTGGTAGGAAAGTACTTTGCTTCCATAATAGCAAACACACAAAGAGAATAGGAGGCATGTGCGCACAGCCTAACATTCTAGGAGGGGTTGCTGCTCCATGACAGCGGTGTGTACGAGCCACAGCTCAGCACATCCCAAGGCAGCCTGCACGCGCAGGCCCAGCCCGGTACACCTCGACTCCAGGATTGCCACAACGAGATGTTCGTCCTGCGTGGATATTGCAGATCCTCCAGTATAAAATACTGATCTCAAAAGGCTATCTTGTTTTAATTTCCACACCCATGGGTGAAGGGATTATTTGCCTATCTCGAAATCAATTCTTGCCTAATAGATTCGCTGTTTTATATTACATTCGAATCTGTGGAAATAACCACATCGGTATGAATAGCACACGCACAAAGCCAGGCGATTCAACGGAGGTACAACGTGCGAGTGGCCGGCTATCGACCATATGGACCTCCTCTTATTTGTGGCACACATTAGTTCTTGTCGCAACCCAAAATTATTCTCCCTCAGACGCCACCTCGTTCAACACGCGGCGGCGGTGGATTGCACGGTATTCCTACGGTTCCATGGCGTCCTGGTGCCTTTAGACCGCCTGCAACAGCTGGGCATCAATCACAGCTCGGTGGACTAGCAACCAGATTAAGCCAAACGGTCAAGTTGATGAGATTTCGTACCCGAATGTGCTGGTTTGTAGTGCGAATAGGGGCCTGTTTAAGCCGATCGGTGATGCGTAGTGTGACGCGTGACGCGGCTGGTTAGTCGAGTCTGCTATCATGATCGCAGCCGATAGGAAATACGCCAGTCGCTGGACAGAGCGACCGCCAGACGACTCTTTCGCGCATGATGTGTAAGTTTTATCGCTAACTTTGCTTCTAAATACCATGACTGTTTATTATTGCCTGTATTTAGAGATATGCATGGTTCGTCTAGCATCAGGCTCTGGAGCTACGCTTATCTAGTAGGCCGACGCTCGACCACATCAGCGGCCGATTATCGACTCGGCTGCTGCAGCGTAATCTCTCACATTATTCCCGGTGGAGGGCGTGACCGGCACGGGGAGGACGGCCTGCTGCGGTAGGAGCGGTGCAGACTGTAGCTTGCTTGCGCTTGTGGTCACGACGGTTGACAAGCACCTCCTCGCCGTTACTGTTAGCTCGATCACGCTCCTGTATCGCGAAGAGACGATACACGCAGTTTGTAATGGGCCTACTTTCAAGTCCACTACTTCGGCTTACACGATAGCGCACGTGTATGAGGAAGCGTAAGCTGCGTTTCAATAAAATTAACCATACTTTCGTCCGAAAGTATAGATTTACTTAGATAGGAAAGCAAAGCCGATTTCCGGTAAAAATGGGAGCTGTTTATTTGTTTATTTGGATTTTCCTCCTAATCTAATATTCTAAATGAAATGTATTTATCAACGAATGGCTGACAGAATCCTACGATTCTTATTGGTTGAAGTTATTGACTTTCAGCCAATGAATGCCTTGAATACAAACAGACCAGCAGCCTGTCAAAGTTATCCATTGGTGTATCTCATACCAATGCGAAAAACCTCTTTCGTAACCAAGTGGCTATGTATAGTCACTTGCGTGTAGCCCCGTTACCCCCCCCCCGTTAAGCTAGTACTTTTCTAGTCTCAACACTCAATTCAAAGTATTGACGAGGCCGTCAAAACGTTTGAGAGACCCGGGCGCTTTATGCAATGAGCTCGCCGAGGAAGAGACCCGCGCAAGAGTCTGCTCCAGCAGACCCTGTTACGTATATGCCTGCACCTGCAGGCACTACCACTTCAGTGTCCGCGCAAGCGAACACGCCCACGATAGAAAATAATATTTCTGTCACGCAATACCACGCAATGCTTAAGCAACAGCATGCAGAAGCTACGACTGACAAACCGTCAGTCGTCATGCAGGGCTCGTCGGCTATGCCTACTGACTGACGGAGACATATCCACTGACTATGGATCTGACATTGAAGACGAAGATGAGGACACCTCGTCTTCAACTGTCGACTCTAAGTCGACCGAACGAACGCCTCACCCCCCTGTTGGGGCGCGGCGTGACGATGTTCCGGACGCTTTTGAATCGAAGCGTCCACGCAATGAAGGAGTGGCGCAGTCAACGGTGTCGGTGCCGCCTTCTTCTCCGCGTACTGCAAGTGCAGTACGCGTTCCCTGGATGCCAAGTGTATCCGAAATCGCTGACAGGTTCGGCGCGACATCGCCGCCGAATTCGATAGGATTGTACGTGTGCAGCGCCATCAATGATGACGCTGATGTCGTCGACCTGCACTTTGATTCGTCAACGAATCAAATGCGCGACAACCTCATCGGATTCTTTCATGAACGCCGATGGAATGCGTCGAAGAAAACTTCGCGCAAAAGCAAAGTGACTGAGTGGGTGGCACTTTGTCAGTCTTGGAGCGCGTTTGCTGTGAACTTCAACAACAATGCGAAAGGCTACCGCGAGCGTATTGTCGCGACTCGCCAACGCTTCGAGACCTTCTCGAAACGTCATCTCATCGATCGCCTCCATATTGACGCTGTGGAAGCGGAAAACCCCTGCGTAGTTCCACCTGAAACTGCGTGTTCGCACTGCCACCTCGGGGCAGTGCGCCGTTCTGAACGTGATGCTTTCGGATACACTTCCGTACGTGTACCGGCTCCTCTGCGAGACCTCCGTGCTCAACTTGAGCACCGTGATGCATCCCGTGCTGGTGTCTCTCGCAGTTTTAGCTCTGAGCCTCGTACACCCTCACCCTTTCTGAAATGTCCCTCATCAGGATATCCCGTGGCTCCCATGCATCTCGATGGGGAGGAAATCCTCTTCAGCGAATACGAAGACGAGCCTGATCTCGGTTCGTCTTCGGAGCTTCATAGGCCACGACTCGCTTGACAATCCAAAGTGTCGAGTCGTGCGCGTCACGCAGCGGCGGTGGCGGAATGATACCCTCTGTATGGTCAGCCCCAGGTTGATCATGGCTTTCGCGCTCTGCACGATCGTGTCGTCGCTTTGGAACAATCCCGAAGCGCGGAGCTCGCTGCCCTGCAACAGGAGCTGCGCCTACCGAAGACGCAGCTCGCTGCGGCTGCTTAGAACATCTAAGTCGCACCTGGATCGGAGCTGAGGCACCTGCGCGACCGCGTCGTCGCACTTGAGAAGCTATCTTACGCCGCTTCGTCGTCCTCTAGCCATCGAGACTAGATGGATCGTGTTGCTCGTAAGGCTTCAGCCGTCGACGTAAAATGTCAAATGGAGTCGCATGCTGGACGGTATGATCAACGTATACGCGTTGCCATGCCGTTCAAGTACTGTGAGCGGGCCGATGAAGCGCGGAGCAAGCTTGCTTGCACCGAAGTCAGAGACCGCATGTCGTGGTAGGTTCTGCGTAGCTAACAGAACTAATGAATTCGTTTTGAATTCATTTGTGTTGCCTACCGCCATTGTCTGCATTCAGCTTCTGTTTGTCTACAGAAGCTGCTATTGCGCCCTGGACAAACCGTTATTGTGGCCGTAGGTCTCCCATCACCGTTACTGAAGCCGAAGGGTGAAATTCCGTGGTGTTGGTGCCTTCACGTAGTTGTTTTGAATCGTGCTCTCGTAGTGTGCCTTCATAAACGCGTTATCGCGGTGTTGTGATGTGGTTCGTATTACGGCCTGTCGGCGCTGGACAAAGTTCGGCGATTGCGTGCTGAATGGCTTGCTCAGAACGGCTTCCTTTTCTCCAGCAGGCCCGGTCTACGCGCTGTCTGTACCTGGTACATACGTCTTCTTGTTCGCGGTTCCTGTCCCCTGCACAGATAAGGTGTTCTTTGTTTTCGTCTTGTTTTGGGAACGAGACGCTTGTCTTCGCGTCGTCACTGATGATACGACGTCGGTATCAGTGTTTTTTGCTAGCGGCAGCACGCAGCGAGTTGCTGTAACAGCTTGCCCATTTTCAGGAGACTATGTGCGGTGTAATCGCGTTTCAAGGCCCGGTTGAATTACGGGCTGTTGGTGGTGGCAAATGCGGTAGATGTACTGTAGCATTGCCAGTGGCAAAATCGATCATGAATTAAGGGCTGTTGCTGGTGCCAAATGCGG